TCAATATTAGTGTGTTCAACTACGTGTGAGATTGTCCCTGAGAACACTTGTGTGTGTGTCTGTGTGTGTGTGTGTGTGTGTGTGTGTGTGTGTGTGTGTGTGTGTGTGTGTTGTGCGTATATCTGAATCATGTGTAGACCTGGAGCTGCTCCTGAGGGGTCGACTCTCAGCGCGTCCTGATGGCGTCCTGTTTGCGTCCTGGTGGTGTGCGGGGACAAGGAGAAGAGACGTGAGGAGGATCATCCGGATGTGAGACAACATTCATAGATCCAATTATTTTAATCTGATGCACCTTCATTTAGTTATTTCATGTTTTAATGTGTGTAAGTCTACATTGTATATTTGTGGTTGTTAAATAGTATTTCTGTATATGCTTTTCATGTTTAGTGAGTCTCTGTGCATACCAACATGTTAGAGTGTCTCTGTGTAAGTACTTTTATATCTTTTATATGCATCTCTGTGTACATGTACATGATAACAGCAGAAATCGGGTTTAACTCAAGGTACTAACTGTAAATCACAGCTTTCACCACGCGATACACCGACACATCACATCATTCACAGCCGTACGGCTGCAGTCTGTCTGGACTCCTCACTTACCTTCAGCTCTGTTGAGTGCAGCAGAAGGCGTCTTCATCTCCTCTTCACACTCCTGAGGCCTCACGGTTACTTTCTGCAAGTTTCTCTCTGTAAAACTTCAGTGTGTGTAGTTTGAAACTAACTGACTGAATGTGCCACAGACAGTGTTTCTTATGCTGAGGTGAACGGAGCATAGAACATGGAATATAGAACATGGAGCATAGAACATGGAGCTTAGAACATGGAACATGGCGAAATGTTCCATCATGATGTCACGTCTCTATGGTTACAGTGACGGTATCTTGAATATGGAAATGAGCCTTTAAAGTAAACGTGTGTGTGGACGGTGTATCTGTATTGATGGAGCTCATCCACTTCACATGCTGCATAAAACACTTTGCTCTGTTTGTTTTCTATGACCCGTTCATCTTGATCTTGAAAGCAAACACTTTAAAGAATAAATAAAGAACGATTTATGATTTTGGTCCATTGTTTCTAGTCGTAAACATATAAACTCTTGAAGCCGGATGGTTAAAGCTCCCGTTCGAGCCCTCTTGTCCGCAGTCGTTATGCTAAGCTAACCAGCGGCTGGCTTTAGCTTCGCGTGAGCGCACAGACATGAGAGTAGGGATGAGAATCGTTCGGGTTTTTTTGATACCGATGCTAAACCGACACATTTAAAACCATACCAGTGTCTGAACCCATACATAAAAATGAACATTATAACCTTTGAACAATACCTTAAATATAGACAAATAAAAATCACTTGGCTTCAAACTACAGCTTCGAATTGTTAACTGTTAACTTTAAACTATGAACAATATATGAACTGTTTAAAGAGTATGATTGCAGGGTTTCCCCTCCAACAGCCAGAAGAGTAGTTAATTGGAATTTGGGGAATATTAATAATTTAATTTTAGATTCATGCTCATTGTGCAGGAAGGACAGATATGTAACATGTATTGAAAAGCATTTACGTTAGATTGACCTTGTTCGTCTCAAAGTATTGACGTGCAACACAGAAGAGCTGCAGAGGACAGAATGTATTAATTGTATATTTATTTGACCCTTTGTTGCGTAGAATAAAGACAATGCGAAATAAATCAAACTATCTCCCGTCATTTTCGGAAGGAAATTAAGACATTTGTATGCAGCTTAACGACAAACAACACCGAAGGAACGTCGCTTTTCGACTTTAACAACGGCGGGGAAACACGGACTTAAATGAACGTGAATAGAAGGTAGATGAGTAGCGAGCTGTCGTTAGCTGCTGCGAGGACGGAGTCATCACAGTGTTTCAATCAAGTGTTTCAATCGGCTCCGGCACCGAAACCGGAGTTGCGTCCCGGTACGGTAGTTACCGGCTGGCGTGGGCACCGGTCCTCGGTACCCAACAATACATGAGAGGGGTCAAATCAACTATTCCTAAATAAAGGTCTGTGTCTGGTTCAATGTCTGTGCACGTACCTGATTGGGATGTGGGGAGAGAGGCATTTATTCCCTTATAGACCGGACGTAACCGTCCTAAACGTGGGGTTTAAATACCATGATTTTGCATCAGGACCGAGTGAGAAAAGTGGTCGGTGGCAGGTTCGCTTTATCCAAAGCGACTAAGGTTACAATAAGTGCATTTCAACCGTAAGGATACAAACTCAACATGAACATAAAAGTGAAATTTCATCATGGGAAGGTGGCGACGGTTCATGTGACCCGCCGTTCACCTCGAAGGACGGTGGCGATAATCGAAGAGGCGACGCTAAAACAATAAAGGGACATGTGTATCGACCGCGCGCGCTGAATAACCCATTTCTAGTGTCCGGGGTGCGGAGGGGCTGCGGGGCGGGGGGCTGCTGTCAGTCCGCTGGCGCTCTCTCTCCGCTCGCTGCGGTCGGTTATCAAAACGTTGCCCAAATGACCCTTTTCAGACTTTATGAACAAATACAGAATCCATTAGTGTTAATTTGTAAATCATCGCATTAAGACACACGTCACTTTTTTTATTGAAGGCGCTGCGCTACTTGCAGGTCGCTGTATTGTGCCCGATTCTCAATAAATACAAACAATGATTTACGGCGAACCCGTGGCAGGGAAGATCCTCATTAACATGTCATTTGCATGAGGAGGCGGGTCCATGTCTCTACCACCGACCACAGGAAGAACCGGACACCGACCACCGGAACCTGCCGCCCGGACAAAGGAACCGGCCACCGACCACTTTTCACACCCGGCGTCACTCTCTTGTTGGCTTTCCTTACAACCGGCGTTGCTCTCGTGCGAGGATCCGCCTAAGCTGATAAGCCAATCAGCGAGACTTTTTCAGCGCTCCGCCAGCAATTAGACGAAGCCCGTCGGGGTCACCGCCAGAACTAGGCCGAGTGCGTCAGCCCAGTGGCCCGGAGACCAAAGTCAGTCATTTGTTTATCTGACACCATCCCCAAATACAAAACCGCAAATTAGTATAAATCATCAACTGTTTACAAACTAAAACGACTTGTAGGACTTATACATGGAATTAGCTAAGCTGCATTATTCATTTTTCTCTTTAAAATATGGTTTTAGTTTGGCCACAAACAACCTCGCAGCCCTAGTTTGAGCTCATTCAGTTAAAACCTTCTTCGAGTCCACCGACTCCATCCAAACGTGCAGAACCCTGTGACTTCTCACGAGACCTTTTCATCCCGTGCATGGAACAGGAAACCGGGTCGGAGACGGCCCGGCAGCAGGACCAGAGGAGAGTGAGGTGGTTCGACCTCTCTAAGCCTCTTACGCGGGCTGTAAATCTTCGTGCAGCCGGTCAGCAGGACTCCTGTTGGCTCTGATCATGATGATTTAATCCCTCGTGGAAAAGGGTTACAGGTGTGTCCTCCTGCCAGTCACACGGTCAAGTGGAGCGAACAGAAAAACAAGCGTGCAGGGCATGGACAAGCTTCTGTTACCAGAGGAGGAGGAGGAGGCGCGCTGGGACCACAGTTTGCATGCTCCGGGAGAGGCCGAGAGGACGATGGGGGATCAGGTGAAGACTGTCTTCCATGGGACGGAGACCTTCTGGAGTACCGCGAAGGGTTACTTGAAGAGGAACGGGCTGCTGACGCTGTCCATCATCTCCGTGGTCACGGGCTGCACGCTGGGCTTCACGCTGAGGGGAACTCATCTGTCCACACAGGTAACGTTTGAATCACCTGCCGGGACTCAAAGCATCTGTCTCAATATGTCAACAACACTGGACATTTAACCTCATGTCCTCCACCGCTGGGCCTTGCAACACAGATCCCACGAAGATATACCTGCAACACACTTCTTCCATACTCACATACAACATATATCTTTAATGCCGTCCATTAAACTGTAGGTGGGGACAATTATTTTCACATTTCAGCTCCCAAATGAAACAACAGGTTAGTTGATCACTTGACATGTAAATCAATGCGCACACGTGTTACTCATGCTTATATTTAATTCATTATTTAATGAATTATTACCAGAAATCAGAATCAGGAATAAGGAACATTTATTGGCAAAATATATTGGACATACAAGGAATTTGACATGGCAGTTGTGCATAACATTAAGACTCTAAGACACTGAGACAATAGACAATAAGACCAATGACATGCAAAAAAAAATGGCATTTTTTACATGATGACTCATTCATGTTACTATTATTGGTTACTGCAATTGCAATTGCCATTAAGAAGTTTACAATAAATATGACATTATCATGCTGATGTGTTTTGTATGTGAAACCTCAAAAGCAGCTCTCAGAAAGTTCCTAATAATTGTACCTGTGTATTTTCCACAAATACTTATAGTTGACTCTTGGACAAACAAGACATTTACCAAGTCTTATCCATGACTGGGAAATTATATAGAATTAAAAAAAAACATAAATAATAATAAACAGTTTATGATGATTAAAAAATGATTATATTTATAGTTTATAGTCCAAAGAGTTAATTTATTGAGTAACGTTTAGGAACTAAAATAAATAAAGTAAGGATACACAGTCACTGGGACGTGGTGTGGATCTCCCTGAATTATATTTAAACAATAGTATATGAAGCTCAAGTTAAAATAGTACAAGTAGAGCTGTAAACTGTTTTTCCAGGAATGATTGATCCGTCTCAGGTCGACTTTATTCAACTCCGGCTGGAAATAGAAAGTGAAACACGAGGCTCACATGATGACTTGTGACTTGTTACCGCAGCACAGAAGATTATGAATTCAGAGCCTTCAGTCACATGCTGACATCTGTGTTGACCAAGCACCAAATCTGTGGTTTCTTTGTTTCCCATCATCTTTTATTTCTTGTCATGTTCTTGAATTGGATGAAATTATCTTAGTGTATTACAGAGTAATAGAAGTACTTTGTTTTTAAATGAATTTCATGTTCATCCCAATAAGCAAAGTACCGTCAGCATCATCATCATTCCCCTTCCCATCATTTCCCTCTGACATCTGAATCTTTGAACCATCGGAACAGAAACTCACGGACGTCTCTATGAAGCCAACGTAAAGAAATAGTCTGTACAGTACTTCTTTAATAAAGTTTCTGTTGGACTCGTATACGTCCAAAAAAAAAAGAAGTGGAGTTTTTACTGCAGGGGTATTTATCTGGCGGTTTATACCCTATATACTACAGTTGTGGTTTTCAAAATCAGATTAATTAGATGCTTTGTATACGTCCTATAATGTGTAATGTATTGTTTTTGATACTTTTTGTGGTTGTTTTATGTCTCAAACCCTTGTTGTCACATTCAAATTGAAGGTAAACGTTACACGAGGTTAATAAATCTGCTGTAGAGGCTTCTACTAACCCTCCACTGGAAGTTCACAGCTTTTGTTTTGAAATGTTGACGTGAGACGTATTTCATCATTGCAGGCGAAGATCTACTTCTCCTTTCCCGGAGAGCTGCTGATGAGGATGCTGAAGATGCTCATCCTTCCTCTCATCACGTCTAGGTGGGTCAACCGTCAAAATTGGGTTCAACACCCCTAGTGAAGTTCCCTCCCGTCATGATTCATGAGGAAATAATCCTAGACGCGTGCGTCAATGTTATCTGGGTTTTTCAGTGGTCAATTTTATTTTCTCCAGTCTCGTGTGTGTGTGTGTGTGTTGTTGTTATTCTGCAGAATCTTGGTGATGTTTTCAAGCCGCTGCCTTCAGATGTCTGCAGATATTTAATGAACTAAAGGAGAAACTCTTCATACAGAAAAAGACTACGCGGAAAGATGGAGGGTTGGAACAGTTCAGGGCGACTGTGGAGGTTGCTGTGTATTTAAGCTTGGCGAGTAAAACGGATCAGATCAGGACGTCCCGGCACAATCCATCCAATGGTTGTTGAAATAGTTGACTCTCATGACGCGTTATCTTTGTGGAACAAGACTTTTAACGGTTAACTGTACAAAATGACGTGAAAAGTCTAGGCAAGCTGTCTCCCCCTGCACCCACTCGTTATGCTGAGCTAGGCTAAATGTGCCCTGGACCTCTCTTTGTCCTGAACACACACATGAACTAAATGTCCCCCTAATCCAACATGGTCCCTTCCCTCTGCTGGTCTGTTTGTGCAGTTTGATGTCGGGTCTGTCGTCGATGGAGTCGAAGGCGTGCTGTCGGATAGGCGTCCTGACCGTCACCTACTACCTGTGGACCACCTTCATCGCCGTGGTGGTCGGCATCGTGCTCGTCCTCATCATCAAACCCGGCGTGGGGACAGAGATGGAGAGCAACCGGCTGGGAGGGGGACCCGTGATGACATCGGCCGACGCCCTGCTCGACCTCATCAGGTGAGAAACGTTTTCAGGCCTTAAAGGGTTTATTGAATTTTAAATATATTCTTCTGAAATGCGAATGGAAAGAATTCATTCACTTTGGAGGCACGTGTGGGTTATGTTGTTTTTTGCAGCTGACATAAACACTGAAGATAAACACTTCCCATCACTGTAAACTCTTTTCACTCTTTCATCATTTTGAGAAAAAGGTAAAAGCACACATTTCCTATTTTCAAAATGAGCCTGCCAATTAGCTCCAGTGAGTCAGATTTTGCATTTTACATATCAGTAAACTGAATAACAACTCCTTGACAGTTGGTCAAACAAAACTTTGATGTGTGTCCAACGCTGCCAGTCAGCTGCACAACACAACGATCAACAAATCGTAGAAAAACACAACGGACCCACTCACATCAATCCAATTACAGACGGGGCTGATTTGTATATTTTTAGTAATCCTGCACTATGAGTAACAGATTAGCCGAGTCAGCGGCGGTGTGAAGCAATGATCTCAGCTGCGGCACCGTGGCAGACTCTTCAGCGTGCCATTGACCTCGTTCCCTGACCTCAGTCAGTTGATCTTCTAAGCTGTCTCCATCCGGACTCCACGTTTGACATTTGAACTTCTGTACCTCTGGAATAACAATCTTGTGTTTCCTTGGTCCTCTGCAGAAATATGGTCCCCTCCAACCTGATAGAAGCCACGTTTCAGCAGGTAACGCCACAGCCACGACTCGTTCAGGTGACAAAGACCTTACCATGAAACTTGTGTCACCATCCCGTCTGTGTCTCCCCAGTACAAAACGGACCTGGTTCCCATCCTCAAAGTCCCAGCCATAACCGTGCTGCCCAACTTTGTCTACGTCATCCCCGATGACAGCGACCCTAAAGGTCGGATGGTGTTCCTGGAGCTGACTCCGCCTCCGGATGTCACCTACAAGACAAGTCCCGGCAGCAGCCAACAGATGAACGTCCTGGGCATCGTCATCTTCTCCGCCACCATGGGTGAGGTGGGCGTAGTCCTCGGGGTCTGACGTTATTATTACGTTCCAATTTTATCTTTGACGTTCTCTTCCATCCTGTAATGTGTCATAGTTGTTAAACAGATCAGATTTCTGCAATTTCTTTTTTTTCCCACTTCAGTAGTGCTTTCCTCTTTTATTGGGAAGTTTGAAGAAGATCTGTGCCTGTTAATTCCAGCTTGTGAAACAAGCTCAGAGGGATATTTTTCACTTTAGAAATGTAGAAAATTAAATAATGTCTATTAGCAAACTAAAAGGATAAAAGACTATTGAGACATACAGAGTTGTCCCCATTTCACTGGACACAATCACATGGCTTCATTAGCAGACGGTTGATGATGCTGCTTATAATAATGTACAAACTATTTTGTTGCAGGCCTGTTGCTGGGCAGAATGGGAGAGCGAGGGACTCCCCTTATCAGTGTATGCCAGTGTATCAACGAGTGCGTCATGAAGATCATTAACGCTGCCGTCTGGTGAGAACAATACTCTGAATGTGCGGTATCAGGACAAACTATTCCTTTAGCTCGACAACTGTTGACACTCTGCTAAACACGTAAATCATCCCAATGTGTTTCGCCATGTCCTCTCAGGTACTTCCCTTTCGGGATCATCTTCCTAGTGGCGGGGAAGATTCTGGACATGCAGGACCCGAGCACGCTGGGGAAGAAGCTGGGCTGGTACGGCATCACCGTGCTCGCTGGCCTCTTCGTCCACGGACTCATCCTGCTCCCTTTCTTCTTCTTCGTCCTCACCAGGAAGAACCCCTTCACCTTCATCCGGGGGCTGCTGCAGGCCATGGTGATCGCCCTGGCTACCTCTTCCAGGTTAGAGACAGTCTTGCTCTAATCTGTGGAAGCGTTCATGTTTTACTTCTTGTTTTTGTCTTTTCTCAGCTCTGCCACGCTGCCCATCACCATGAAGTGTTTGTTGGAAAACTGCAATGTTGACCGGCAGATCGCCCGATTCGTCCTCCCTGTGGGTGCCACCATCAACATGGACGGCACAGCGCTTTACGAGGCGGTGGCGGCTATTTTCATTGCTCAGGTTAATGACTATGAGCTGGACTTTGGGCAGTTGGTCACCATCAGGTAAGCCAACACAAACTGCTGAACAATGAAGGATGTTTTTTTTATGATGGATTAGAAGATATAATAATCATCTCAATATGTGAATGTTTGTAATCATAAGAGCTTTTACATCTCAATTCTGTGGGGGGGAATCAATACGAAGCTCGATGATCGATAAAACAGCTTTGTTTGCCGTAAATGTGCGAAAAAAAATCATATTAAAATGTAATAAAATGTTCTGTTTACTGTTACCAGATTCCAATTCAAATCTTTATAATGCCAAAAAACAATGCTACCCATTAGTGCAATATAAATATTTCAACTATTTTAAAGCACGCTCTCAGTCAGACCGTATTTTTTATTAACATAACAGGAATTTACTATAAGTAAAGGCCTTAATAAAGCTCTTATTGATAATACAGACGTTTATTGGACCCTTTTCTTCAGATAAAAACTCGGTCAGTGTTATTTTGTTTGTCAACGGTCAGAAAACTTTGCAATGTAGCGCGTCTTTCAGTCCGGACATTTGGACGTTTCAGTTTATTCAAAGCAAAGTTACAGGTGGGAAAGCTCCAACCGATGGAGAGTGGTCCATTGAGGACCGGTGGTCTCTGTCCAAAACCAGCGTACACATTTTTCACTTAATTTCTAATGTAAAAACATATTTTTCTTTCGGAACAACTACAATAAGTAGTAGCATACAAAAAGTATTTGCAGGCTTTTGCCGGAATCGGACAAGCAACAAACAAAGAGCTACGGTGGCCTATGAGGAACGGAAGCCTTTGGATTAATCACTCGCGCTCCATTTGACTCTTTCTTCTGTATTCCTAATGAAGCATCACGGCTACAGCTGCCAGCATCGGTGCGGCAGGTATCCCCCAGGCCGGTCTGGTTACTATGGTGATTGTACTGACATCAGTGGGCCTGCCGCCAGATGACATCACACTTATCGTGGCCATTGACTGGATTCTGTAAGTTTACAGTTACAGTCTACTCATTATGTAGAAAGGTCTATTTCTGTGCAGTTTAGTATTTATTTAAATTTTGTGAAGATATAATTATGCTTGCATGCAATTGCATGAAATTTAACTGAATCTTATTAAAATCTATGAGTAAATTGCAAAGGAAAACTGTATTAAGAATTACCCTTTGCAATTTTCGAAATATTGTAAGTGCCTGAATGACACATGCCAGGGCAGCAAGACACCAGATAAAATAAGAATTTCCCTTCCAATGTCCACTTGATTAAAGATGGTCTTCATTTTAAAATAATCTGGGGCAGGTCAGGGGGTTACAAGGCCAAACTGAAAGGGCCGTGGCACTGACACAGCGCTTTGAAATCAGTAGATAAACCAATGCATTGATTTTAGACATCGTAAATACATGGTAAAGGTGTAAAACTAATCATTTTTTCAAAGTGGGTGGGTCTCATTCAGTTACTTTACTCTCCACTGCTGCCAAGTGCCAATCATCCCAGTCAATAAAACAAAGGATGTAAATAAAGTCTAAAATACTTCCACTACTACTTAGAAACGCTTGTCCACAGTCGTTTTGTTACCTTCTCATTGTGTTTCTGCAGTGACAGGTTTCGAACCATGATCAACGTTCTGGGTGACGCTCTGGCGGCGGGAATAATCGCCCACCTCTGTCAGAAAGATTTCCCCCTCAGTGGTGCAGGAAAGGTAAAAATAAATATATATAATTTACAATTTTGACTTTTAAAGACGGTTCGGACCTGAATGTGTTTTTGCAAATGTAAACACAATAAGATGAAGTAAATATATCAGGAAATGAATTTAAAACATTCATATCTAAAACTAAATATCTCTCTAACTTCTGAACTTCTGGAAACATTAAGCTGTTACTCATTCACTTGTTGATGCCTGTAGGTTGAATTAGATTACAGCAGATTTTACTCAAATTTGGACAGTAATTACAGATTAGACTTTTGAGACTTTTGAGAAATATGTCAAGAACTCACAAATGACTTCAAAGGGCCAAGCAAACATGCCTTCCAGTAGGTTGGCAATAAAATCTACACAAATGACTAAGTACTGGTAAAAAACATGCAAACATGTTCTGCCCTTTTATCATGTACCACTTTACTTCAGTGCACTAAAAATATAAATCGCTGTTGTTCTTTCAGGCACATGCTCATTATGGCATTATTGTTATTTTTACTTGTCATCATACAAAGAAACAAAGGACACAGACGATTTGGGAGATGGGAGTTTTTTTTTTTAATCTCCGTTTGGTGATCTTTGGGTCAGGGTTAGGGTTAAACAATATGTATCAAAAGTGTCCATATGGGAATCTAACGTATGTTTTTGTGTGATTCCTCCCCAGCCTGTACCGTCGTACGGGACACAGAATCCTCACGCTCACAACAACTCTCACAGCGTAGATGTGCCAATGACAGAGATCCACACAGACAAAGACAGTATGTTCGATACAATGGGCGACCCATTGGGCGGGAGTCACCCGCACACAGTCTATTACAACATCTGTCAGGTGTGATCGGACCGGACCTCCTCAAAACACCACTGAGTCTTGTGAAAACGTCCCGTGCCATCTTCTGAGCAGCAGCAACTGCTTTATGTTCAATTTCGGTGACAAGAACCTAAAGAACTTGATTTGCAGCTTTGTTCTTGTGCTGACTGAGGAACGAGAAAACACTGGCTACAAGGACCAAGGCACCATTTGAAGGGAAACTAGCCATCAAGTCAGACTGCATTTAAAAAGTGGGAGATTTGGTTAATAACAACCAGAGGAATCAAACAGGATCTCTGGTTGACAGGATGTACAGGACTCTGCACCAGAGGATCATTGGTACATGGCACTCTCCAAGGTGCAACTGCAGGTTCATCATTTGGTGTGACATATCTCCGGAGACCCTCTTTTTTAGATTATTTCTAGGCACGTTCAACTGACAGAAGACTTTGGGCACACCCAGAACCCACCAGAATGGATTGTGTATCTCATCAGACCTGGGCAAATCTTGGGATCCTCCAACTGGAGCTGTAAGATATTCGGATACCTTCACTGCTTTGCAAGCAGCAGGCATCAACGCTTCTAAGCATGCCTACCCTCGGGCTTCGCAGTTGGCTCGACTGTACCCAGAACAAAATGTCCTGATCCTATCTTTTTAGAGGTAGATCAGTGTCTCAATTATTTGTCAGAGCAACAAATCCACCTCTAGTTTGAGATAAAGGTACCTTTGAACTGGGAATTGAAAACTGTACGACCTCTGAACATGTTGTTTTGGTGTTTTATCGGAGATCCTCCAAAGAGACATACTTTTTGGTGCTGCTATTTGTTCCTCAAGTTTACAACACTTTTGCTCTCTCTGAAAGTTCAACAAACCTGAACTATGTATTTGATTGGCGGGTGGTCATTCCTGCCTGCACTCAGACTTGGTTGAAGGGTTAAAGGCTTATCTGTCCAATCCAACGGCATCCAAGTGCCCTTCATCTTGCAGACTCAACTTTCTTCTTTCTCTGTGTCGTTTGTATTTCACAGCATGCTGGCATGCGTTTGAACTGGCTTCACTTGAAGCGGCATTATTTCTTCCTATTGTATTTGTCTTGACTTGTGTTGGAAGGGGAACAAAGTGCTGTTGGGATTATGGACATTTTACCAGAGTTGGTTCCCACGAACAGATGCTTGTTTGGGTTTAGTTACAACTCAATCACTTAATGGTGTTACCTCAAGTTGTTTACAAAGGATTTAGCTACATCTGAGATCGACCAACACTTTGAGGTAACTAAATGTTGGCTTTTTATTTAATTGCTGCAAAATTGTTTTCACTTACAAGTTACTAAAAATTATGGTTTAGATTAAGACGGTTAGGATAAATGAAATACCTTTAAAGACACTAAAACTCATGATACCTAATATTCAAATCATTTTAGTGAAAACATAGACCTGCCTTAATGAGCGTGGACCGTCTGTTGTTTTAATCCACAAACCTCAATGTTTATCTGCCAATGCACACTGACAAACTACAGCATTTTCAAAACACTTTTTATATGAAATAGTCAAGTATTTTTATTGAATTTGTTTGTTTTTGAAAAATAAATATTTTAATATTAATTTTGATGATGCTATCTTTCCGAGATTTATAAAGACATGTCCGAACCACACGGCAACCTCCGGTTCCACCGAGTGAAGCCGGAGTGGAAATGTGTTAGTGCATGCATTCTCCCTGCTGACCAGCAGGGGTTGACTCCTCTCGTTGCAACAAGTAATCTGAAGTCTATGTGAAAATAACACTGCCCGTCACTTGATTTTTTCCATTGGTAAACATTATAAACACTCGTTGGGCGTATGGTGCCTGTTCACTCGCGCTACCACAGCTGTACCTGGCGTCTCTATGTCAATCCTCCACACTACAAATGAGGTAACCTCCGCTCATTGTTGCGAAAACAACAACATGGCGATGGCAGTAACCCAAGATGACAACTTGAAGCTTCAAAACGGCAGCTGGTTGTTTTTCTTACTGTGTAAATAGCCCCTGTTCTTAATCATTTTGAGAAACAATGCATTTCATACGTTTCTGCCATAAAAGTTGTAAATTTCCCTAATAGCGGAGTTCAGGGTAAGCGCAATGGGCTTGGGCCAATAATTTTATACAGAGGAAGCCGTTCAGCCGTTGCTAGCAACATCTATAAAGCCTCAAAGCTAATTTGCTTGATATCCTGGGATCGGACTGCTCATTTCTTGACCTTACCAACCGTTTTAACTTCTATTTCAAAACACTGTCACTCGGGTGCAGCAAGGTGATTATTGCTGATGGTATCAAAGATAAATTGTAATGAAAAATACCATTTAAACTATCCCACATTAAGCACAAAGACATTAGAAAAGTCCAGAGGGGACACATGGAAGTAGAAAAGGACATCGTCACTACACTGCGGTTGCTAATTCGAATGCAATAGCAAAGCACTGTAATCCAATAAAGCGAACGTGGGGGCCTACAGGACTGAATCCTTGTGACGTCATGCAGCCACAGGTGTTTCACCAGCTAATCCTCCACCACAGATTAAAGTCACAATGAAGACTCAACCAGTGAGGGAGGAACAACAGGGATTGATTTGGTTTACCGAGGGTCTCCTGGGTTTGCACGCTCTACTCAAGGACATTTACAAAAAGTTGTGTCACTTTGTTTCAACTCCTACGTTAGTTATTAATGAGATAAAAGAGGCTTGTTCTTGTTCTGGAGCTTTAAACTCAACATTGCAAAATGGGGCCATGAAGTGTTTCAAGTGGACTTAAAGCAAAGCGTGTGTCATGAGTATCCACAACGTCTTATTTAGGGGTGTGAATACATTTGTGGCCTCTATAGGAATCATAATATTACACTGACTTTTACTTTTTTGATCACATTTAACCTCCACCCTTTAGTTTACCACTTTGGTAGTATACAAAACATTCTCTGGGATACTTGTGAATTATGGATATAGATATATCTATATATATAATGTTAATGACAAATAAATTGGTTTTTAAAGGATTTTACATGAGGTAGTAGTTCCACCGTCAACACTATTAGTATTGTTAAGACGTTACAGTGCAAGAACATGGACCTGTTCCCCTTACTAGTATATCAAACTAGAAATTCACAGTAAACAGCATGTCTCGCATAATTTGATCAACACCCAGATGTTTTCATTTTGACCTAAAACGAACGAAAGTCCCTTAACCCAGATAAATCTGTCAGTAATTATTTATCTCGATCTCGACGATCACTTTCATCAAAGTCTGCAAAAGCAGGAGACCAGTAGCTGTCCTTCCTTTCCAACCGGCTTCTGAGTGCTTTCGCGTTCTTAAGCTGATGTACTTTCTTTATCCTGGAGATTTGGGCTGCGGCCAAGCAGATCATGCAGACCTTCCAGGAGAAAACACAAACAGATTAGAAACTGATAAGGCTGCTTCTGTCTCAACTCCGATCTGTTTGCGTCCTCTGTCAATAATCTGTACTGAAGTTCATGACAGACGGAAACTGTAAATTGCAGTACTTTTGCAGCTACATTTTGTAACTTTCACAAACAGACGTCTTCAGCAGACTGCGTGACTTAAGTTTCACAAGTCTGCATATCATATAAAATAAGCATCCCTGTCGGGGAAAAGCCCCGGGAATCAGCCGTGCACTGAACTCTAACAGAACTGGGACGTTTAAATAGACCTATACCAGCAAAAAATAGACTTTGAAAACACTTTTCCTTCCAGTTGGTCGGGTATGGAATGTACTGCCCCTTGTGGCCGTTGGGGGGAAAAAACTGCCACTCCGACCGCAGTGTTTACCTCGAGCAGCAGCAGCCCGGCGGTCAGGCCGGCCACCAGCAGCAAGTTGTGTTTTGCCCACCAGACTATCTTCTCCAGGCAGCCCATGGTGAAGACGCTCAGCCCGGCCATGCTCTCCTGCAGCGGCTGCATCCCATAACCACACATGGTGTTCACCACCGTCTGCACAGGGGAAATCACGCACAGAGCAACCTGAGGTTGTCACTTTTTGTCACGTTTTCAATCTCCTTGACAGATTTTATGGGAAAACCCACCAAAGATGTACATTAAAGTTTTTAAAAGATCCTTCACAGTACAATTTTATGGATCCAGTATATCAGCAACTATGGAAAGGTCACCCAGATTGCGGCAACGATAACGTCCCTTCATGAACCTGCTGCCGACCGCGCGCACAGACAGACTGACCTGGTTCAGCAGGTTAATGCAGCAGGAGAAGGGAACTCCGCAGGCTTCCAGACTGGGGTTTGTGTCCATACACTCAAAGTAGACATTACGGGACCAGTCCTTATAGCTCTCAACCCCGCAGCACTGAAACTACAAACACAGCAAACTCTCACTAACCAGTAAAGTGTTATGAAAGGCCTGAAACTCCCTCTTGAATCTTTGGAAGGACACAAATCATTTTTCACCTTCTTCTGGATGAAGTCGATGGCATTCTCCAGGTCCTGGTCCTCCCTGTAGCGGACAATGGCCTTCATCATCAGCGTCTCTGTCCTCTCCATCACCTGATCAACAACATTAAGGCTGTTCACCTTGTTTGCGTGTGTAAGTCATGATGAACATTGTGGTCCTGGAGACACCTGCTGACTCCAGCTGGAGCCACGACAGAGGAAGTTTTCAATAACATTGTGAGGTGTTTGCCTGTGGACCGATTTGCTTCTCTACACCAGTGGTTCCCAACCACTGGGACGCGGACCGGTACCGGTCCGTGGCCCGCACAACAAAAATAATAAATAACTTTTATTTTTTGTAATTTTACTGAAATTTCTGAAAAATATTTTATTTTGAAAATATACCTCTTGACATATTTCCCAAGCATCCCCAAGCGTTTTTAATGTTTGCAATTGTCCACTCCTCGCTGCGCAGGGCCCACCAGGAGACAGAGAGTGCTCAACTACCCCCCACCCCCTCCTTTAGAAAGTGGGTATGGTTACATTTAAGTGAACCCAACATAGTTATTTGGAATCAAACCATCAGCCGGTTGTGTAAGGAAGTCATAGTCGCTTATTTAAAGCAACAAACTTTTTACCACCCAAAGTAGCTCGTAGCACTAGCAGCAGAAGTCTTTAAATCTAGCAGGTTGGTCGACGAGTCTGCCACACTCCGCCGTCATCTAAAACCACTGCACCAAAATTAGATTAGAATGTAAACAACTAACATCACTATTGTTTTTCGTCCCGACATCTGTCAAGTCAGCAGCTCGAGGAACACTCAAGGAATTCCACAACGACTAGGGAGGGAGCGTCCAATCATTACATTTGGGCCAAATGAAACGATTGGACGGTCTTATTACAGTCCTGCAACAGCCCCGGCCTTCAGTGGTTGCCGTTGATGTTTTTGAGAATTTGTACAAAGGCTGTTAAAATGTTTTTGACGAAGATCACCAACCCTACCCTTAAATTGCGATAGATATCATATCAACAACCCTTTGTTCAGGGCTGTCTCTCGCGCAGTGGATTAGAAGTCTGTTGGAAAATGTACACTTGCAAAACGAACCAATTAGACCTCATCATTTACGTCCCCTTTTTTATTAAATCAATAATTACCGTGTTGCAGTTTTATGCAACCGCCAGCAAGTCAGCTGCTTTTCTCCTACCGATTTTCTACCGTTTTAAATGCAACTCATTCTATTTTGAACAGCCCAAAATTGCAAATCACTTTACAGTGTGTACATATGCAACATCTCCTGTCCCGAAACCCTCACATCGGCACAGGAAAAACCCTTTGATGGGTAGAAAAAAGGGACGAAACCTCAGGGAGAATGGAACATGCCACATGGCCTGTGTACAGAATAAACAGCATTAAACAGTATTTATTTATCTTTGCAAGGGAAAATAGGGAGGTGTGTTTCCTGTCCCAGGCGGGCAGCGTGACGTTACCATGTCAGTGAAGAGGTATCCCACGACGCCAGCAGCAATCTGCAGGAGGAGGATGCCCACCAGGATCCCCAGAAACTGTTGGAGCAAACAGTGCAGATGCCCGCAGCAGTAAGAACTCGCCATCGGCACAACGCAAATCCAACGTCACACCGGTCGGACGACGATAGGGGTCGGCCTTACCGTCTTCAGCAGGCAGGTGGCGTTACGCAAGGCCCCGAAACATCCGAGGAACGTGATGAGAAACATCGCAGCGCCAACGACGATCAGGAGCAGAGCTGGATCCAACATCAGGGTGTCAACCACATCTACACACACACACACAGTGGGATTGCAATACATCACACGTGACTGCAAGATAAAGTTGAAACATGTCTGATTCCCTTGTTTTGCTACATCAGAACAGGAATATTTTCATCTATTTAATGTAGTTAATACCCTGTGTATGACACTTATTGTAAAAAATGAAATTCTTATTGTTGCATTTGAGATCTCTGTAGAATTCGAAATGTATCAAGTGCAAGACGATCAACCCTCCTATGTGATGCTGCCACTGCTTGGAAGAAAAGATTTTGCAAACGTCCCGTTTTCAAAATAAAGAAACGTGCACTAAAGTGCTGCTACATATAGTTAATTTAGCCTTTTTCATGACCAACCTTTCTCCTTTGCAATCTTGGCGTAGATCCCGACCGCTACGAGCACGGCGCTCACTACCTGCAGATTTAAAGAGGAACAGATTGATTCATCAGAACCCGACCGACAGCTTCCAGTCTTTGTGCTAAGCGATGCTAAACACACCCTGGAGCTGTTTATCCTCCTGACACAGAGAGATGAAACGTATACGGTATCCATCTGAAACATTGGGTACAGTCAACCACACTGTGTTCAACACACACAAGCATCTTTGTTGATGTAGATGCGTTTCTGCAAGTGGGGAGATGATACAGAATACAGAGTGAGGCAGTTTCTTAGAAAAATAAGTTAGAGAAAATCAATAATAGAATTATTGCCAAGGAAAAGTTACAAGAATGAATAATCATAAGATATCTTATTTCTAGGAAATAAAAACATAAAATGGTCTCCGCTGCTTCCACGCAGTTGGAAGAGAATTGTTTAAAATGTATGGAAGCCCATCTCTGCCAGGAAACAGTGATGCATTGCAAAAGTTCAGTTTCTCATGGTGAGTCCAATGAGTCGTTATTTTGCCGTACTTAATGTAATCAATTTTCACTTTTCACTTTTTTGAAATGTTCAATTTACACATTTAAACCTGAAAATAGTGGAAAAACAGCAATGTTTTGCCAAAGTGGATAACCTGATGCATCAATAAAAACAATATTTAACGATGGAAAATGGTACCCAAAACGTGACATGAAGTCAAACAGCCTCTGACCTTATGTTCTGAACAGGTATAAATCTATAACATATTGTACTTTTTCTTTTTCAAAAACTATGGGACACTCTAACGACCAATGTGTTTAACAAGAATAAAATATAAATAAATATAATATAGTAAATAGAAGTTAGAACTTCTCAAAAATGTGAAAGACAACTAAATCAATAAATATCCTTTAGAAATATTCTGGGAATTTGGTTGAAATTTGTACAACATTTGGATAGAAAATTGATTATACCTACAGTTTTGATTTAGTAACTTGTAATCATGACCCACAACATCACTTAACTTGTTTTTTTTCTTTTGCCTTGCAAATATTGTCTTCCATACAAATATCACTGTACGCAAGTCTTTACGCCAAGAAAACAAACCCAGGCCAAAAATAGTGTCCACATACGTTTGGTCTTATCGGGTACGGCTCACTATATGTATGGCTTTGAATCAATGCATCTTAAGTGTTTGTATACATTTTTTAACTTCGTTTTGTTGACAGTTCATACTTTATATTTTTCTTTCCCTTTGACATTGCAAAACGATTGTAACTGTGGTGATGAAATCGCTTGCTGGAAAACCATATTGTGCAACACATAGAATAAAGACATAAGCCATAAGAAACTGATCCCACTAATGCGTCTGTACAGTGTTTGCGCCTCAGAAGTTTCCGAAACGAGGGACTCACCCAGAAAACGTGGCAGCAGATGAATAAAGTGTACTTTATTGCTCTGTATCCTCTCATCTCCCCTCAGCAGATCTCTCTCACACTGCAATGAAAGCCTGTTGGACGTTTTGTTATCTGCAGACGTGTGTTAGCTTGCAGGACGCATTCTTGCTGTCAGGCTCATTCCTTCTGCTGCTGCTGCAGGATGTCGTCTGCTCACCCCACCGGGGGTGGAAGAGGTGTGAAGGAGGAGGAAGAGGAGGAGGAGTAGTGAGCCGGTCACTGTCAAATCACATCTGCTGCTTCAAGCAGACAAAAAAGCTTCACTCATTGTGTCCAGATTTGTCATTTGTTGAGAAAGTGATGATTATCATAAATACATCATCTAAAATGAATACAGGGTCAAAGAAAAACAATACCAAGTTCCCTGACTAACCAAAGAAACACAAGATAACAGAAAGGAAGTAAATGCTTCCACCGCAAACTAAAGACACACCTCTTCAGACTCTACCTCGACTAAGGACTAACAAACTGTAGCACTTAAATTGTACTTGTAACACCACTTATCTATAGCAAGTTGTAAACTGGCTTATTTGATAAAATTGCACTTTCTTGTTTCTTGTTCTTCTGAGTTTGTACCCTATGGTTGAATGCACTTATTGTACGTCGCTTTGGATAAAAGCGTCAGCTAAATGACATGTAATGTAATGTAATGTAATGTAAAAGGAGGAGAAACACTACACTGCTTCCCCAAAGTTACCCAGGCTGGTTACTGCCCCCCTCGCCACCAGCTAGCCAGCCAGGGGCGTGGAGGCCCGAAAGCGAGAGACTCTTTTCTAAAAAGAGGGCAGAGTCAAGTCGGTGGGCGTAACGCCCCCCACCTGTCCCCAATTGATTTTGATCTGCCGTGTTCATCCTCTAAAGAGCAGCAATGAGATATTCTCATATCCTGTCTCTTTGAGTCATCAGAAATATGTTACTTCTACAATTTGAATATGATTAATGTGTTGAACAGCTTCACTGTTATTGATCATTTTGCTGAGTTGTACAAAAGTAAACTGTGGAATATCATTTGCATGTGTACAAATAAAAGCTATGTATTCCTTCACCGGAACCGGAACCTTCTTCTTCTCTGCTTTGTTTCTGCGCTTCCTCTACCTCCACCCACAAACCCTCTCAGCTCATTAAAGCAGATTGCTTCTGTCAGAAGATTAAATCCGCTCCGTGGTTCACTCACAGCTACGGCTCGTCCTCCCCCGACTTCTCTGTTCTTTGAGGATCCACCCGAGGACCATGGGCCTGCTAAACATCTTTTCGTCCATCAGAGACCGAGTCGACAAGTTTCTGAATGAGAAGAACGTGGTGACTGATTTTCTGGGGACGTTGGAGGAGAAAACGGGGATAAGGAAGAAGATCCTTGCAGTGGGTATGTGATGTCTGGCTGACGGTTGTTGTTCATTCTCATCGGTTCATCATGAATGCTTGAACGATGATTGCACTGTTCTGTTTATACACTTATAACTTCCTGTTGCATGTTAGTGGATAACTTGAGAGGATTCAGTTAATCCTCCTGTGGGGCTACAGCTGCTCTCTGTTAACATAAACCTGCACATTTTTTAGTTCAAAGTTTGTGCTCTTATCAATAATTAATTGATGGCTCTAATGGCATTTATTTTCAAGCATATTTTAGGATCATTGGTTGGAAGAGACACACTCGTGTGATTAAGCCTATGTATGTACAATGTATGTATGTGTTGTCTATATCCAGTTTGCCATTAGTAAATGTACATCTTCATTCAATACCATTTTCATTTTGAAAGAAAGTCTGTTTTTTTTTTCATTTATCATATGTCACAGGATATAGACCTAAGAAAAACATGGGACGTGGGAGGCACTGCTATAGCATAATGGGGTTGCATTCAGATGAAATGAACAAAGATGACTGACTTGCTCTAAAATTTAGCAATAGTAACCATTTAACAAACAACTTAGGGTTAGGTTTGGGAATATGAAGCAATGAAATACAATAACAAAAGCTGTTGATGAGATAATGCTCATTGTAAATAATGTCAAATGGTCTCCGGTCACATCTCAGGCCAGGAAGCCTTAATTGATTTAATCCATGTTTTTGACTACTTTAGACACCCCACTTGTGTCAATTCAAATAAACTCAAACTCCATCAAGACAAATGGAGTGTACTTGTATAACGCTTTAACACTACAGTTGATCAAAAGTTTACATACACTTTCGTGGCTCTCTTGATATGACCCATAATAAGGTCATACAAGTTCAGGAATGTTTTTTTCTGACAAAAAAAGTATCTGTTCCAATCACTCTATGAGAGAAAAATCAGACTCGAGAGCCATGACATTATGTTCTTTAAAAGTGTATGTAAACTTTTGATCAACTGTACATGACATCATTCATCCACTGATGACCGGAGCTGCCAAACACGGAGCCACCTGCCCATCAGTAACTACCATTCACACACTGTAGTCACAGCTACAGGAGCAATGTTGGGGTTAAGTGTCTTGCCCAAGGACACATCAGCATGCGAGTTAGCCAGGCCTGGGACTGAACTGCCAACCGTGATTGAAGGTCTGTGCTCCTCAGTCGCCCCACCAAGGTTTGGGAGTTTTATCATTTAAAATTTCAATAGTTACGTTTTACCCATCTTTGCTTTTGGTTTAACTGCAAATGTAATGCAGGCAGAATGTAATAATTACTAGTTCAGTTGTATATAGGAGCACTAAGGACTCTCTTTTCTGTCAAATGTAAACTGATGTGGCGTAATGAGACTGGCTCTCTTTCGCTATGCACCGTCCATGGCTACATTGGCTGATGTTAGCTTGGAACAGAATATTAAATGTAATAGAAATGATAAAAAATAACCATCGTCCGATGCTTGTTCTGAAGCCTGTTACACCGTGGTGGCCGGTCCATAGTAGCCCCAAACGCTCGACTCCCGAGACGAGGTTCAAAATCCGTTTATTTACCAAAGGACACATATAAAAATCACACTCCGCAGAGGAAAAAACCCTAAATTAAACCTAACAACAAAAAGAATCTACAAATGCCATGCTGACAAAAGGAATGAACAGAAAGCGAGTCTGAACAAAGTGCAACAAACCTAGACTTGGTGACGGACATGGGTATGCGTGGGTTCTCTGTAACATGGGACAAGATCAACTGGCACAGGACAAAGGGAGATGTAGACGATATATTCACACAGGGTGAGGGCAGAGGTGGACGATCGGACCGGCACACGGGGAAGGAGCAAGTTGCCTGAGAAGGAAGGAAGGTTAATTTTCAAAATAAAAGAGGTACTCTCGAGACAACCTGATTAGCACCGCTTCTTGGACATGACATAGGCAAAAAAAATATATATAAATAAATTATATATATAAAATATGATACAAACTTAATTTTTTTAATAAAAAATACATTTTACAAATAGTCAATATGTGTCTTGTGTTTTTGAAACGTGGGATGGGAGACATTACGGGACGGGTGGGGCGCGACTGCGATCCCCCGGTGATTCCTCCCACTCTCTCTGTACTTTTGCACCCGCTTTCGCTTCAGAGTTGGACGCGGGGGGGGATTGTGGGGGGGGGGTATTGGGAACTGCCTCTGCCATTCTTTCAAATTGATACTCCGCCAAGAGACCGGCCAACCAACGACGGCAGCGAGTATTATCCAATTAGAGGCAGATTAGGATGAGTCTTCACAGAATTCGGGTGGGTTTATTTGTATAGGATGCTGCATTGAAAACAACTCGGAAAATATAGGACAAACTCGTCCCATATTGATTCAAACCGGGACGCACTATTTTATTCTCAAACACGGGACGATTCCCTATTTTAAGGGACGGGTGGCAACCTTAGTCTCCGCTGGGCTCGGGTCATGAAAATAGGCCAAAAAGGCAGATTTTCAATGATTTACTGCAGCGCCCACTATTCATCAAATAATATTATAAAAATCTGGGTGTATTCGGGGGTCCAAGGTTCACATATGGTACGAATTTGGTTAGGGCTGGCCAAGAAATTTGGAAGTTGTGTTTTACCAGATTGAGCCCATATCTTCTCAAAACAATAGTATTTCAACACGATTTTCATGGATCAGGGGGACGTTGAACCAATAATATTCCACAGAAAATATTCTGTCAATCTAACACAGCATTAGGAGAAAAAATGTGTTTTTCACAAAATTCAAAATGGTGGAAAATCTAGTTGGGCGCATTTGCATACCATGATTGACTTTTTTTGTAGAGCATGTCCAAGAGCACATCTGTGCGATCGGACATCGGGGGGGAACTGGCCTAGTGTGGTAGTTTTCAATGCGTGCAAAATTCAACAACTTTTTGAACATGATTAAGGCCCCAAAAAGGAAAAATTCCTTAGAATGAGAAAGACAATAGGTTCCTCTACGACTACCCATAGCGAGGACCCTAATTACAGCGTAGCCAATTCGTCCCGTGGGATTTCAATAAAGCGTCTTAAATTAAATTTAACAGGATGTAATGCTCAAGTATTGGTCCTGCTGTTGCTGTCTCAAACCTCTGCATCAAACTTTGCAGAAATCATGACTAAAAAAGATAATGACCAAACAATGAAAATGGAGCTCTTTAGTTGCATAAAGTGTTCAGCAGAGGACATTTCCTGAGCAGGGAACAGCAGTCTATTCATGCCACACTGATGCCCGTATAGTGGATCAGTAACACACTGACATGATGTCACTGTAGTGCCTGGTGCACCGTGTCCCCCACTATCTCTGCGTCCTCCTGCAGTATCATTATAAGAGATTATCCTCAGAGACGAGGGCAGAGCAGAACGGCCTCCATGTGCGAACCGCCACATAAGCTGATCAGAGGTAGGAAGCTTTTCACACGACTTGCTGGCAGTCTGCTGCACTAACTTGTTGTGTCTGAATATCGGAGTTGATCGGAGAACGTGACTAGAAGTTGATCAGTCCCTCCTTTTTTAAAGGAAACACTACTTGTGTGTGTTATTCTGCGGACCTCGCTGTTGGTGAATTAACCCGAGCTTTTGTGTCCAATCCTGCACACATTGGATACATTCATGATTGTTGTTGTTCAAAACTGAATTTCTTTTTTTTTAAGTTTTGAATTTTGATTTTCTTTTTGCCTTATTGGAGATTTACAGAAAAGTGTGGGAGAGTGGGAATTAAGACATTGTAAATTGATAGAGGTCAACGAAATGGATGTAAATACATTATTCTTCTGTATATTTGAATAAATAAATATGTAATTAAGTGTATGTGTGAAGCGTGATGCATACGTGTTCACAATGTCCCAACGTAATGATGCAAACTCTTTTCGAAGGAAAGCTGATGGTAAATGGACTGTACCTGTATGTCTCTTTTCTAGTCTTATCTGACCACCATGGGCTCATGAACACCACACTCACCCTCTCACACCCATTCACACTCTGATGGCTGGAGCAAGGCACTTAACCCTAAAAAGGACACAAACCGCCCATCTTGTGATTGGAGGACGACTCTGCTCTACAACTGAGCCCACTAAAGTAGCTGCAGGACTCACTCAAAAGCTGCTGATTGAAGCGAGGAAGTTGGTTGGAGGCAGGCCGTCCATTCATACCAGTAGAAAGACATCAGGAGCCTTATCATCTTTTCTTTGCATGTGAAATGTCATATTATTAAGAAAGGGTAAAAATGACATAAATGACCTCTATGAGCACTCTACATCAGGTGTCTAATGACTCTCGCCCAGGTGCCGTCTCATTCACCGGACTCTACCTGGTGTATGGATATGGCGCCGCTCTTCTCTGCAACCTGATTGGTTTTGCCTATCCAGCATATTATTCGTAAGTATTCTTTCTATTAGGTTACAGCTCTGCTTGTTGTGTTTCTTTCACTCCCGGTCCTGAAACTCTTGAAAGAGGAATCAATGTTAAATCCCAGAAAGCATTGCAGTGAGACACATCCCACCTATGCAACAGGAATCAGTTCTTGTTAATGGAATCATTGCAATTTGTGACATTGCAGATAGGACTCGATGTAAGCAGTACTCTAGGCTGATGCCGCGTAAAACCCCTGTGAAGTCTTCAACGTAGGCCAAACCAACAGTTACTAGTTGACTATAGCGTTTGCAGAGAAGAGGCATTTCCCCTCTAAACTTCTGATGGGTTTAAATTGTATTTGACTGAAGAAGAAAAGATCATAAGTCGCTTTGGATAAAAGCGTCAGCTAAATGACCTGTAATGTAATATTTCCCAAATAAAGCAAAGCAGTGAAAGAAAATCTAAAAACACACAAATTTGTGATGCTTTGTTTTCATGATTTGTCACCATAGTTAATACAAAAAGCGTTCAGATTTATCTTTTCACCCATTGGAATTGGAATATTTCCTTCACCCCTGTTTGTAGCACTGAAAGCCCTCCTCGGAGCTCTGCTGTAGTTGTACAACATGCTGACGGCCTTTTTGAGAAATATGTACAATTTATATCTAATTCAGAAATAAATGAATTTTTTCTACTCGTATCTGCAGAATAAAAGCCATTGAAAGTCCAAGCAAAGAGGACGACACAAAATGGCTGACGTACTGGGTGGTGTATGGTGTCTTCAGCCTTGGCGAGTTCTTCTCCGATATTTTCCTCTACTGGTTCCCTTTCTACTATGCTTTTAAGGTGGGATAACACTGTAGAACCAATCATTATGGCAATTATTTATCTTCCAAACATAACTTGAACACAAGTTGAACACTACACGCTTGTGTTGTGGTCTAAATGTATGAAGTCTAATCTATTAGGGTACCAGTTCACAAAGAACTTTTTTCTAGTAAACTGAGTAAATCCAAATCTACCCTCTGTGATTCCAGTGTCTCTTCCTGTTGTGGTGCATGGCTCCGATTGCGTGGAATGGCTCTCAGATCATCTACAACAAAGTGGTGCGGCCCATCTTCCTCCGCCACGAGGCCGCGGTGGACGACTTGGTGAGCGACATCGGCGGCAGGGCCATGAGTGCCGCTGAGAACCTCACCAGGGAAGGTACAGATACACTACGCTGTGGTTACACAACAGGATGTAGCATTTAAGAAAACGATCGATTGAATGTTCCTTCTTTACTTCTCTTCAGTCCTTTCCACGCTGATAAGGAATAAAGCTTTGGTGACTCCGGGGCCGTCAGACGCTCCGTCCGAAGCCAAAGGTTTACCATCTTCTTCAGCAACTAAAGTTGCTCCATCAGAGTCAAGCGAAGAACAACCAGTACGTACACCATAGCTTCCTTAAATGATGCTTCAAATAAACCTCAGGCAGAGCCAGGCTCGCTGTGTACCTTCTCTCACAGCCTTTATGCTAAGCTAATCATGCCCTCTGACCCCAGCTCAGTATCACCAGTTTACCACTTCATCACTTTGACACATCCATCCCTCTGTGCTCATACTGCATGTAGATGTAGGCTACTGCTTCTTGCTGTGTTAAGGTGCGTTTTGAGCTCACAGTTCTGTTTTGAAAGAACATATTGTGGCTCTAGTTGTAACATTTGGGGGACATTAGAGCACACATTTAAACTATTAGTATAGAACACGTCATTGGGTATTGCAATTTTATAGTTAAATCTGTAAATATGTTTTCAGTGTCTTGATGGGAGAAAAAGCTGGATTTTAGAGACTAGAACTGAACCTGCTAACCCAGCTCTCATGTTGCTTGTTTCAGCTTTTCCTTGGTTAACTAGAATGGTAAGTTAACTGGTTTGCTGCTAGAAGTGACTGTGGTGTGGTGGTTGATGGACAAGCAGAACATCAGTGACCCTCGTAGAGTTTCAGTAGTTGCTTTAAAGCTGAAGCTGCTATCACCTCGGGTCGGTCTGTGCTGCAGATTTAACTTTAGCAGCAGATGGTGCTGATGGGATCCTCCATGAAACCCTTAACAGACCTACTTCTCCAACCTGCTGCTCTTAAGAAGCATAAGCGCTCAAAGCTTAAAGATTTTTCCAATTTAATTGGTTTATTAATATCTTGACTCATTCGTGTCCTCGTTTCCGGCCGGGACGAGAACAAAGGATTGAGTCCTCCCTCGAGAGCTTCCGAAACCTTAACACACAGAATGAAAGCAAATAGACAACCACTTCTGACTTCAACATGGAAACGGCCAAGATGTAACCTGAAAAAATAATTGTGTAGTGCTAAGAGGAGATGGGTTTTCATACTGTTTTAAAATCACACTTCACCTGGGAAATTCAAACCACGAACGTTGTGCTGAGCCATTCTTTTTGTTTGTTTAGTTAGCAGTAGTAGACTAATAGTACGACCAATTTCAAGTTTTTTTGTCTGTATAATACAAGCTTGTTTCCCCAGGATTTCAAATGATGAACAACAAATTACAGTCAATTTCAACCATAGATTATTTTGATGCAATAACAGAAAAACAAGCATAATTAGTTTTATTTTTTTTAGGTATGTCAGATATCTATAATGGAATCAGTCTACACTGAGCTGTATCTTGATTTGATTGGGAGATTTGTTTCAGAACCATGTGATTGAACTAATAAATGACTTATTGTACAATTCAGAATATAAAATAACGATGTCTTAGAATATAACCAAAAAGTAGTCCCACTCTCCACCATAATTGATAATGGTTAACAAAACGCCTTTTGGTAAAGTTTTAATTGCACAGATCTTTCATTTTGAATTCATTTCCAAAGGGGTTTTCTTGGAAGAACGGCATTATTTGGTAATATAAATAAGAACAATCTCAATTTACTGAAGCCAAAAGCTTTAAATATGCATTTGAAAAATCTCATACCATTGCATGTTCAGTTGACTGGCTTGGTTAAACTAATAACCCTGCGTATTAATGCTTTGGAGGTGTATTAAGGGAACACGGTCTCCATTTTGCCAATGATTAGTTTTATTTCCAGGATAAACAGGATATGATATTGTTAAACTACGCAGCAGGCTGTGATTTTTTTACTTACTTGTGAGGCAGCTATAGCATTCTCTTTTTTTCATCCCTTCAAGTAGCTGCAGGGGAAGAGGAGGACCCTCCTTGAAGAAGAGTAGAGGAGCTGCATCCTCACAGACCCCACTGAGAAGAATTTCCAGTGTCACAAGAGACTGATTTCCTTTTATATATCAGATCAACCATTTGTTTTTATTTACTGATGAATAATGCAAAGCACCTGAAACTGGCTCATAACTCACAAACTCATCAGCTCACGTTTTGCAGGCTGCAGACCAGGTGGAGTTGCGGCATGATTTGGGGAGCAATTCTTGACCTACAATACCTATAAATGAAGTATCAGCAGTTAAGGCCTTTAGGTGTAGACACATCTGCATTCCTCTGCTGCATTTAACACTATTTGCAACCATAGTTTACTTTTGTGGAGAGATGCACTTCGACCTCTGAATGAGCTGCAGCTCTGCATCGGACGTTTTCCTCCGTCTGTCTTCAGGTGCTTTGCATCAGTGACACTGTGTGTCATTTTTAGTTTTCATTGGTGTATCATTTGTTTTTTTGTTTTCTTTATACACGTAAATGAAAATATAACTTGATATGACAATGATATTATGATAAGAAATAAACATTGCTAATCAGAATAAAACATGTGTGCTCTCTCTGTTGCCTGAATTACTACAAAACAAGACAAGAGAGAAATGCTTGCATATCAGCAGGGTGTCTGCTTGATGTTTTGCAGGAAGCCTACCACACTTATTTATAAGCTACTTATTATAGAAAAGTTATCAAAAGTTGCTGAATGCTTCGTAGCGTTATAACAGATTTGAACTAATTTATCGTCTTTTTCTTGTAGTAAACAGTAATTGTGTAAAAATTGTATTCAGGGCCGTATAACGAACGCAATGTACAAAAGGTATGTTTTCAATTACATGTTGCATATGTGACGCATGTTCTCTGGATATAAGTGAAACACATCAAATACTGAAAGCATAGTATATGATCAGTAATAGTTTTCGGGCTAACATGAATCCACCATTCTATGACGTCATATGGGGGCGTGGCTTATGTCGACGTGCTGACGTGGCAGGTAAGTCGTTGACGTGCTGACGTCCATCCAGTAGTCCTGTAAACACGGGACGTGTTCTGCAAGCAGTTGCTGCATTTTCAGCAGCTTTCGCGGCCAATTAACCGTCTTTCCGTCCGGTGTGAGTTGCAGGAACGGCGTAGAGGGACCCAGGGACCGGGGGGAGCACGACCAAACCCCGGTAAGCACCGGCGGTCTGTCTACCTTGATGTAGCTTCAGCTAGCTAGCGTTAGCATCGTTGTGCCCAGGGCTGTGCTGGAGGGTAACGTAATTTAACGTTACGCTACGTTAGATGTACTTAGAGACGGTTTACGCCAAGTTTTAATGCAGCGGGGATAGCATAATTATACCCAAACGTCTTGATCCAAAGGAAAGGTCTGAAGCAGAATGAACATTGGTTCAAAAACTAAGAAGAGGGTGGTTCTGCCCAGTCGCCCCGAGCCGCCCACTGTGGACCAGATCCTGGAGGACATGAACGGAGCCGCTCCCAACGACCCGGTCTTCAGCATTCTGCAGAAGACTGGTCAAGGTGAGTCCACTCAGGCACACAGAGCCTCGTCAAACATGTGGTTTAGAGGTATGTCAATCACCACCTCTGACCCCCCAGAAGTGTGTCTATCGGCAGCACAGGTTCCTGCCCTCAGCCCGTATTCGTGATATTTTACTACCTTTGTATTGGTAGTTTCTCTGCATGTGTCATCCGACGGGTCGTTCTCCTTTTCCGATTTTGTCCCTTCTCGTTTCCTCCACAAATCTGTGGCCTGTGAGGTTTGTCTATGCGTGCGTGTTTGTGTTCACCATACCTCAGTCCCCTGATTCGTCACACTTTCGCAAACATATTGCTGAAAATGTTAATAAAGCTTCACAAATCCATTGCAGCGACTACGATTGTGTAAGCGAGCACACATTGAAGAAAATATATTTAATAAAAGATCGCCTGGATTCTGGATTCAAACCCTGTCGAGCTAAATGACAATAGGTTCTAAGAAGGTCGAGACAGTGAAATCCGAAAATACACCGGAAATTAGGCAAATACGTTAATTAGCAACATCAATATAAAAGGAGAATGGAAAAGTTAGTGCGACCTGTGCTCAGTAGAAATAAATTTCGAAAGCTATAGAAAAAAGAAAAAAAAGCACCGATGAACCCTCGCAAAGTGAATAAGTTGCTTGAGTTCGAGATTAACAAACGCTATCTGACTGATTTCAACCAGAATCAGCGATACGTTCTTAAAAGACGAGCAGAGAAGTGATAAGTAAGGCAATCCACACGACTGTATGGTCCCCAAATTTTAAATGTATTTAAAATGTTTATGCAATATAAATCCCTAGATGGGTAACTGTATTACTAGTGCCGCAGAATAGAAGATGAGCAGCGTCATCATCTTGCCACGGTTGTAGTTACTCCACTAGAAGCAAACAACATCTTTGTGGAGTTTCATGCCAGCGATATTGGACCTCATTGTGGTATTGAAAAAACCTTGGATGCAATCCTTCAAGGTATTAGTGGCCGGGCATGAAGGCTGACATCCTAAAATGGGTGAGTATTTCTAGCTCCATATTTCTGGGGAGCTTATGGTAATTGCCCAATGTGACGCTTGCCAGAAAAAGAGGACCTCTATAAAACAAAAAAATCATTACAAACCAATAGAGGTGAATGAAGATCAAATTGACCATGTTGTAGTACAGTATTGTTGGTGTTAAGCGTTGGTTTGCATTCTAAGGTCACTGAACCCTTTGAACATGGGAATACACCTAGTTGGCCAGCTGAAATTGACCAACAATGGCTCGTTAGTGCGACTCGGCAAGCGTGGTTTTCTCCAACGTGCGCTCACTGTGCAACAAACTGGACGAACCTCAGCTGCTGGTGAGGAGAGACAGAGACTTTTCTGCATCCTCCATGTTGGTTCATGGAGACGTGGATCCTCAAAGCCATCAATATGGAGGAGCGAGGGTGGAGAAAAAACTGGTGTATCATTTGCGGAGATATTTTGGAACCACAACTTTGCTCTACAAATGTCACAGCTGCTTCATTTCTTTATTAATCTTAACTGAGGTGAACTTTGGATGCTACACATCAGAAGTGGTCCGTACACCCGTTGTCTCGTCTCTTACGGTCTGGTCATTGTGTTTTCCTAAAAGCTGTCTTGTGGTTTATGCACCGGTTCTCCCGTTTTCCTCATCAGATCCGAACCGGCCCTCAAACAGCGACGTGGACTTTCGCTTCCAGCAGTGTCAGAAGTATCTGGAGCTGAATGAGCGGCTGCAGGAGGCGCGAGGTCGCCTGTTGCGACAGAGGGAGGAGCTGCGAGTGGCGGGCGAGCAGCTGCAAAGGGACATGGAAGACGTCAAAGGTCAAACACTCTGACCTTCCACTGCTTTCTGTCAGTGTTCTGGACTCTTTTCTATCGGACTGATGTCAGCTGAATCGTGTTCATGGTGTCCTGGAACCAGACATGGGGGGAGGCAGCTCCTGACCTCTCGCCTCACACCAGAAAGGTGTTTTTGTGTGTGATGTGTTTTGTGTCACCGGCATGAACGGAAACGTGTACGCAGCTGCAGCTTTCTTCATCATTATTAATCCATGTAGCAATTCACTTCAATGAATCTTATGTCACATTGACAAGTTACCAGAATATGAAATAATGTTTCATTTGCATTTTCTCAGTAAAGACGCATTATTCTTTCTAACTCTTTATGTTTGAGAATCGAGGGCCATCATAATTGTCACAACAGTAGATTTATGTATTAACAGTTCACATGCTGGAATGACAAATGATTAAGATGGGTTCAGGCTGAATGTGAAGTCAATATTCACTCGATTTAATTTGTTCTTTACAATTGTATGCATCGCCTTCCTCTTGGCTTTCCTTCTTATTACAAGGCATAAGACTCGTCTTCATGTTGGCCTACCCTGCAGAGGTTATCGGCCTCGTCTCAGACGAAGCGTGATTGCTCAACGAACACAAAAGATAATATAAAGATAATGTAGTCAACCAATAATTATATAATTAACACACACAGCATATGTGACAATAAAATAAGTGAATAAAGAGGACTCATCTGTTTGCTGTAGCCCTTTTTCATAGAAATGTGATTCAGATCAACTTGAGGATTTCACGTTTCATCTTTTGTCTTAAGAGTGTCATGCAGTGTAGGACTTTTGCAGTCAACGTGGTCCCATCCCTACAGAGGAATTGCATATTTAATTGAAGGATAAAGTTTCACATTTTTTCTGTTCATATAAATACTGTAAAAGGTTTTTCTTTCAATCATGAATCCTGATGCTCCTACTTGATATCAAAATATTTCTTCCTGATGTTTTTTCAAAACAAATTATGGAGTTCAAAATCCATAGTCCATGTTTGGTTATTTTTATATATATATATATATATATATATATATTTAGCTTACTATTCCTTACACTGCAGCTATGTGAGGCAACTCCCCCAAAAGAGGAATTGGGTACCAAAAGGAGCCTCATGGTCTCTCTAACTCACACTGCTGTAGCCTTTCAATAACTTAAAACATCTTTATTTTTTGAACAAATCGGCATTCCTTCTTTTAAAAAGATCATCTGATGATCGTCATTGAGTGTGACAGTATTCACAAATAAGTGACAAACACTTGCTATGTAGAATATTCTGAATTAATACTAATGAAATGTGTATTTTTAGTTTATGTTAGGAAGGGATGCTAAACAGTAAGAACCGAAGGAAGCATTTCAGTGAGCACAATTTATTTCACTGTTCAAATGGGCTCCTGACTCGTTTTAACGGTAAAAAACAAAATCCTCATAGCAATGCTATTTTGTCCTACAAAGCAGTGGTCACCAACCCAAGCCGCTTGGCAAACGTGTCAAGAGGCACAAGTGCATGTCATCTTTCAAAATAAATAAAGATAAAGTAAAATGACAAAAGGTTTTTTCTTTTTTTTTTCTTTCTCTATACCGAGTGGCAAGCGGCCCGGGGGTTGAGGACCACTGTTATAAAGAGTGAATAGAAAAGATAACGAAGTAAAGCTTAGTTTTTAAATAGATTTACAAGAACATTGAGTATTAAACCAGCATTTCAGTCATTGACTTTGAGCTTAACATCACTAATCGGGTCACCACTCATTCAAATGCATACTTTTTTCTCTATTTTCCACCTGCTAAAACGGAGGTTCTTTCTGAACACTGCTTCATAAACAAGATGTCAGTGTGGTAATAAAGAGCACTGTGTTGATGTCATGTTTTCTGTCATACTTGTTTCCTGTAATGTTCAGCCTCCCGCCTGCATGAAGGAAAGTCACCACTATGGTTTCATGAAACACATCACTTTGTTTATTGGATAAAAACATTTATGACACACTGCTGTTGCTTTGCCTATTTCACATGGCACCATAACTCCTCTGCGATCTTGTTGATTGGCGACAGGCTGGGAGCTCGCCGCCATGATGGGTCCATTTACCTAAAGGCTCCAGAGTTCTCTGGTATTTCACCTCATTTTCAGCTCGGGTGATTGATTCAGTCACATTTTTGTTAATTCTAACCATCTAGAATATTTAAATATTTAGTTTCTGAATTGGAAGACGCAATTTCCAAGTCTGCATTACTGTGGGAGGAAACTAAATGTTCCTGTCCAACATGAACAAGGCCGCAGACAGCAATAACGGACAAACTTCAGCGCTCACTGTTGGCTTTTAAACATGAAGACAAACTCCCCGTCTCTTTCACATCATTTTGTCCTGAATTTCCTTTTAGGGTCTGCTTAAGTGACTCTCCACCTGTTACGACCCCCGGTCAAAAACGGCCTTACATATCATTCACCCAAAGTTTAAAAATCTATTTCAAGCTCACAGGTCACTCAAATAAATGGCATAAAGGTTTGACTTTGTGGAAATATGTTCAGAAGTAATTTTAAATGCTGTGGTTTTAGAGTAGTAAACCGAATAATTCCTCCACTAAATGAGGTGACTCCCATGGCTACTTCTGTTGTCCTCTAGAACAAAAGCGTTTTAGTCCATTCCTCTTACAGGTACAATTATTTGTTTCACTACCCTTCACATAAGTATTCATAAATATAATAAAAAGTATAGTAACTCAGGGCAGAAGATGTAATGCCATCAACGCTAGTTTCTGAATGAAAGAAGCCTCTTGTGCAGGCGCAGTGATGACAGTTTTCACATTTAGTTTCAAACAAACTGAATTGATTTCAAATATCTTTCTCAACCTTTTTGTTAGCTATAAATAAAGCTGAGCATGTCTCAGATCAATTAGGCAAATTTGATGGTCAAAATTGAATTTCAAAATAGAAAAAAGGTAAGCAATGGAAAGCTTTTAATAATAAATATAAATAATTGCGGCTAAAACAATTATTTCTGAACATGGTTTACCAACCTCAAAACCTTATTCCAACCCCCTTACTGTACATCAGGTGAGGGTTCGATACTGAGAAGATGCATATTAAAATCGCTAGTGAGAATTGAAAGGTTTGCATTCTAAATTTACTTGGGCTTTAATTATTCTCAAAGCATGCTACTAAAATATATTTTGATGATAAAAACAAAACCATGTGTTTATGAATAAGGAGCCCAATGTAGATGCATGTTTGCTCTGTGCAGCAAACTGCTGTCTTCCCTCTCCCAGCGCACATGGGGGAGCGATGTTATAACTACAGAGAATATTCATCGACTTTATACTTGACTTCTTCTCTATTACTACTTTTACGCAACACAGTAAAGCAGATATTAAGACGTTAAGACTTTTGCGAGGACACAAGTTCATCGACTCAAAGCCCCACCATCACTGATTATCTTTTTGCTTTTTGACAGGAAATACTCAACAGCAAACAGTGCCTGAATCTAGTAGCAAACAAATATGTCATCACATTAGATGGACAGAGGTATGTAGTCCGTTTGTTCATTTACATTGACAGTTTATAGCATTATAGGTCTTTGTGGCACTTACACAATACAGATGGCTAGTGATGCGCTTTGTCGGGCTTTAGAAAGGGTTTTACCTCTGAATAACATCATCATTGTATTCCATCGTTGACAGGTGTGTGTAAAGTCAGTGGTTATATTAGCATGCTGTCCGGGATCAAAACGGCTTCCTTTGCCCACCAGGAAGCTTTGAAAATGTTGTATATCTGCATATTATTTACAATACTGATGAAGACAGAGTACAAGAGCAGGTTGAAGTAACCTAGAATCAGCTGATAGTTGAGAAAATGACAGCATTTGCTATAACGTGTTCTGGATCAGTCGAGTAGGTGTTGTGGTGAAAACAATTGACAAATCATATCCTCAAATGAATCATTTCTGAGCTTTAATCTACTTATTTCATCCACCCAAGTGTAGCTTGGAATTTTGACAATATCCACGGTGGGAAGTTATAAATATTGTTAATTTTGCTAAATCATTAATACCAAATTATGTGATTATTATGTGATTACATAATTTATCAGTATTTCATATTGTCATGAAAATGATTTCTACAAGCAGCTAATTCCACAGAAAATGTACAATTTCAAAATATAATAATTTTGTAAAATCAAAATGAATCATGCAATAATTTATTAGATCCGGATCTTAAATCGGATTAACAAACTCCTGTTCGTTGTTCATCAGTCGCCCTTAAAATATAGTTCAAGATTTAAAGATTTTCATCGGCTTGACCTGCAATACAGTCATCTCAGTCTATGATCACAATCGCCTAATGCACAATTTAATTGGAATTAAGGTGATTGCAGAATTTATTTGAAGAAATGTTTCATCAAAAAAAGTAGCCCCAACCCTCCAGGGCTCTTTGTGGAACAGGGTAGGTCATATTCAGTTGAATGGTGAATTAAAGGCCCGAAGCTGTACTTGATGTACATACGTGTATGTAAAAAATACTTTACATTCTGATTTAGTTATTACCTTCTAAGGAAAAGCCCAACTGAGAATTTCTTCAGAAGTTTGCATAATATTGATTTTTTTTATTTTTTTTATCAATTTTGTCCAATGGTGGGTAATGTGCTAAAATCAAGTTAAATGTATTTTGCTTCATGTTTCACTACATTTCTACCAGGCAATGATTATTCTACAAATACAAAAAAGTACAAAAAGATACACTTGGGTTTCATGTGGGATTCTTCTGTGAAGTGCATCTCTAAAAGTTATTGATGGTCTGCTCATCTCAGACTTGTCTCAATGCATACATCCAACTCGGTATGAATGGTCGATGGAAGCTGTGGTCAATTGTTCAGGAAGCAAACCTTGAATGCAGTGAATGGGGAAAGTAAGGGGTCAATACCCGAGGTAAAGGGATCAGCACACTCCTAAAATGTCCAGTGCTGAGTTTCATCCAGGAACGCAGAAAAGTCATTCGTGTTGTTAACCTAACACCCTACGACTCACTTTTGGCTCCTGACTTTTCATTAATTGGGGCCTCTTGGCTTTGTGTGTCTTGCATGCTACAAGAAATGGGGCTTGGGGTGTAATTAAATGGAGTGATTCGGGCAGCCTTGCTGGGAGACCCTTGGCGGAAATGGACAGCTCCACCCACGTGGCTGTCTGAGGTACCAGTGGAGACGGTGCTGCGACTCTTAAGTGTCACCTCGCATTCTCCATCTTGTAGGTTACTCCCAGAAATCGCACCAATTTTTCGTTGCGTAAATCGTGCAACTTCCTCTGAGATCACCCGAGTTGTTTCGACCGTTGGAGAGGTGCTTGAGTTGGTCTTGTTATTTGAAAAATCTTCTGTCTGCACTGTCGCATCACTTGTCTTGCGTGATGCAAGTACAATGGTTGGCAGTTTTCCTGAAAGAGCTGGTGGCTTCGGCAGCTCACCGTCAGGAGAAGGAACCAAAGGTAATGCGTTGGCTGGAAGGGTGCTTTTCAAAATCTGAGGCACATCTTCATCCCTGATCCTCCTCCATGTAACTCTGTCATTTAGCCGTGATGCAGACCTGGGACCTTTCTTCTTTGTATCATCTTCACTCTTTGCTCTTCCACTTGAATCGGATGAAGACGAGCGAAGGGAGGAGCGGCTGGTCACTCGGCTTAGTATGTTAATACTTGGTGATGAGGCGTGACGTTTAAAGTTGTCTTTGTCTTGCTGCTGCCTGGGTCCGGACACTCGTGTGTGCACGTTACGCTCAGCTACCCTGCAGGGGCTTTCGGAGCTAGTTCTCCTGTGTGAGCGCCTTGTAGATAGGTCCCTTTCACTGGAGGTTGCTCGAGAGAGGGTGGTGGTGTGCTTTTGTCCGCTGCGGTCTGCCCTCTGGATTTGCTGTGTTTGCCTTGGACTTTTTACTTGCACCCTTCTCAGGGTCTGCGCAGCTACCTTAAGTTCCTGACAGCGGGATGAGCAAAGAAAGACAGCTGAAGCTCCAGGAACGGCTTTGTGGGGGGATCCATTCTGAGATCCAGGCCTGTTTCGTGCAGAGCCATCTCTTCTCAGCACAGTTTGTGATTCCTTAATGAAAGTCAACTGTCTCAAGAATCCATTGCGCTCAGACTCACTGCCACTTGAATGGACAGAAGTCATCCTGACCAGTCCAAATCGATTGGCAGTAGGGACCCGTTTCCCGTTGGCCTGATTGGTTTGTCTCGTGGTTGTTTGGTTAGTTACCAGAGGCGACAGAGCCCTGGGCCTGACTGCATTTTGCATAAAAGGGATTCGGACAGGTGACTTTTGAGTTTTAGGGGGTGGGGACTTTTCATTATGATTCACAACAGGAGAGCGCCCCTTTCTTTCCGCTGGACCACTAGCTGGCGGACTACTAGGTGGGGAGGAATTTTTTTTCTGGATTGATTTATTCGTCTGAGTTGGGGATAACATCTTCTTCTGCGACTGCTTGGATATTGTAGAGCTTTGCGATGATCCAGAGGATGAACTTTTTGGTATCCTTGGAGGTGGAGTAGAGCTCCTCTTTGGCAAGGACAGTTCAAAGTCCTGCGGGTGTCCTAATCGGTGAAGGCTCTTTGATCGGTGCTGAGCCAGGTTAGGATTCTTTGGAGCATCTGTTTTTCTGGGAGGAGGTATTTGTGACGGAGCAGTCTCTTTTTTTGGCGTATAGATCACTGTCCTGCCTCTAAAAACCATTGGTAAATTTGGAACTGGCTTGCGCTGTGCAAAGTCTAGAGGTTTATTTGCCTTTTTGTCTTTTGCAAACTTCCTTTCTTTAGGTGTGAAGCTGGATGTTGACATGAAGGACAGGACTGATTCAGTCTCTTCCGAGGATGGCTCCTGAGACTTTGATGCTTGCAGTTCACTGACAACACAATTAGCACCTTCTTGTATCGCTCTCCATTCAACACTATTAAGGTCTGAATCTTTATCCCAAGCTGTGTCATCACTATCCATTTCCTCGTTCCACACATCAGCGGCCTTTTGTTTTTGAGTATTTTCTGCTTTTTTCTTCCTTGCAGCAAGCTTCCTTCTCTGCTTTGGCATGGCAGAGGTTATGCATTTCTGAAGGAGGTCATCCTCTGAATCCATGCTGACAGAGCTCGGCGAGCTTGGCTCTTCATATTGGCTGTGGATGTTCATAAACTTTGTTTGTTTCATCATATTCAGTGTTTTGTTGTGTCTGTTTTTGTACCAAATTTGCTGTGCCCTTGATTTATGATCCTCAAACTCTGCATCACTTAGTGAACTAAGTGAGGAGCTGAGTGAGTAGCAGCCCAGGGATTCATCCTTCATCAGATTTTGTTTTATTCTGTGAAATCCCCTGGTCATTGCTTGTGAATTATCAATCTTGCCAATACTCGTCATGCTCCGGGAAAGTGTATTTTTATTTCCTTCCCTTATCTGTTTTCTACTTGTTCGTTTCTGCGCTTCATTCTTGTCGTTGTAGAAGCTGTTACTGTCCTCTAAAGAACGTGTTGTTTGTCGGTAGGCTGTTTTACCTTTTTGTGAACCAACATTACAATTACTTTCTGTGTTTTGCTTGATGACGGGCAGATCCAGTTTCCTGACTGGCCCTTGACCTTGCCTCTTGTTTTGTTGGTTAGGAGACTGATCACGATTTCTTTGCTTTGCTACTCTGTCGGCTACCTCCTTGCTCTGCATAAGCACCCTCTGAGTGGGGACGATATGTTTGGTTGTTTGGTTCATTTGTATCTCAGGTGGGTAGTTCATTCGGTTGGGTTTATGGAAGTGTGAGAATATCCTCAAGTCTTCTATCCTCTTTGCTTCATCATTGAGCAATTCCTGTTTGTTCATTCCTTTAGCTGTGCAATCTTTAGCTCCCCTCTCCTTTACTGGATACTGAAGTGTTTCATCACTTAGCGATGTTGTACTGGAGAAGTTGACTGGTGTACCTTCTGCAGAATCAGTGAAGGATGAATCATCATATTTAAAGTCCTTTTGTGGAATGACAATTCTCCTCCCTGGACACAGTTGGGTTTTGCCATTTGGAAGCATCATGTACATTGGAAGATGTACCTGTTTTCGGATCTGAGAATTGAGAATATGAGGAGGGATGGTTGTCATCAGGGAAGATCTTACTTTTCGGAACTTGGAGGGCATTGCTGAGTTAATGCATTCCTTTAAGATTTCTATGTCATCATCTGAATTCTCACTATATCTCTCCCCATGCTCAAATCCTTGCTCATTGTCATCAGGGAAAGGAAGATTTTTGTCATTTTGCTGGAGTAGTGGGGTCAATTTCAGCTCCACATCTTTTTGTATGTAGTGTTCGTGAAGAGGCAGAGCACTTAAGCTCGATGCACAAGAAAAGTTCTCACTGGGCTTTTCCACAGTGAAGTAGATCATAGTGTCCAAGTCAGGAGGAAGGTTAAACCTATCTTTGGAGTCTGCAATTTCCATGAAAGTTCGCAGACTACTTTCCCATTGGCCTGCTATTTCAGTGGCCTGTGTCTCTGGTCCATTTGGCTCAATGCAACATGGAGTTTTACTTCGACTGGGAGGCATTGTTTGACCTGGGCTGTCTGGAAGATCACTGGGGCTTATTGTACCATCAATCATCTCACTGCAAGGATCACTTTGGATTGAGCTGGCAATTGAGGAAGCCTCAAAGCTGCCCAGTGAACTGACTGAGCTACAGCGACTCATTACCAGAGGTGTCTCGTGAATGTAGTTCTCAGAGGAACTGGATGGAGACCTGTCTTCCAGTAAGGCAGGTGAAGCTCCTCTAAGGAACACCTTTTCTCTTTTTGCAGGGCAGGAAATCTCAATGGGATCAGTATCTTTGTTGGGGAAGGTTTTTGAGTCGGTCATCAGCAGCTGGCTGTCACTCAGATCCTCCAAGGTTTCATCCTCTTCAACTCTCCTCACCACTTCTCCATCCTCCACCTCAATTATTTCTAATGACGAGTCACTCTCTAGCTCATTCTCACTCTGTCCGTCCAGTGCCCCGTCGCCAGAAGAGAGAGAGGACAGTGAACTGCAGCGGGAGAAACAGATAGGGGTGTTCTCCACCGAGTATTTCTGCACCGTCTCCATCGAGCCGATAGTTGGACTTCTTGATGTCATTGGAGAAAATTTCGTAATACTACCCACAGTCATCCCAGTAGGTACCCATGCTTGTCTCCTCATTGCTTGGGCAGCCTGGACATTGATGGCTGTTTTTGCTACACCAAATTTGGCGACACTTTGAATAAGTGGGACCTGTTGATAGGAAGGAGACAGCTTAATTGAAGTCATGCTGACATCAGAGGAGAGTTTAGTTGATGCACTGACAGGTGTTTGTAAAGGTTGATCCTGGTTCTTTTCTGCGTCTGTGCTGCTGAGCTTTAGATCTAAAACATCTGCATTGTCCACACAATCTCTCTCTGGAATATCTTGTTGGTTCATCTCCGTCAGGAGGGCAGGTCTTACATTGAGGTAATCTTGATGAGCCACCTTTAGATCAAGCTGGTTGGGTCGTTGTTGCATCATAAGAGCTCTTGGGGGTGGTCGCATTTGGTCTTTGCTGCCGCAGTAGCCATCACTGGTGCTTCCGCTGTTTAGGCTGTCTGTTGATACACTTGTATGGGCGGTTTTGAGGCGCAAGAGCGCATGGGCTCTACTGAGGCGTTCTCTGTGGGCCAAGCTGCTTGTATCAGATAGACGGCAGGGGGAGGATGATTTTGCCCGGGCTTCATTTAGTTCATCTAGTCCACAAGGCCAGTCTGCCAAGTGATCTTCAGAGCTGAGGCTAAAACTATCCTCAGAGGATGTGTGCATGGTGATGTCTTCCACTAACCTGTCAATCTTAGCTACCGTGTTGGTGATCTTTTTTGCTAGCTTCTCCGCAGCGGCTGATACATCGTCAATGGGAGCCAGTCTCTTCTCGACCATTTGAGGCAAGCCTACGTCTCTTTCAGGGTCAGTGTCTCTCTTACGTGGTTGGTTTTGATGGAAGTTAGAGTTGGTGAGAAACATTGACAGCATAGACAAGTTCCCAGTGTCCAGGCTGCCGGAAACATTTGGCGCCTCGTCATCATCAAAACAACCAGAATCAGATGCGTAATCCTTTGCCAGACTCTCAACGTGTCGTAGCGGCTTGTTGGTCAGGTGCTTTGGGCTCTGTTTTTCAAGAGTATCAAAAGTCTCAGCCAGGTGTTTGGCGTCCAGCTCTGCCTCCAGAGCCTTCTGTTTCCTCATATAGAGGGAGGGCATACAGGAGCCAGGGGATATGACCGCAGCATCCTTATATTTTAGGGGTCGATTAGTGAGGAGATTCCTTAAAGCGGCGGCACTGCCCATTGCTATCATTTTGTGCTTGGAGTGGATAAGGTTGCGGAGCATGCTGACTGCCCCAAGGTCCCACAGCAGCTCCTGGTCTTTTGGACTTCTGGCAGAAAGGTTCCAGAGAGTGCCACAGGCGTTGCTCACTATAGTCAGGCTGTGGGAGCGCAGGTGCTGCAGCAGAGTCTGTAGGCAGTTGTGGTCCCTGAGGATTTGCCTGTGAAGTAGATTTAATTTTATTTCGTAGTTGTTAAAAAAAGTATGACAAAAAACCCTCTTAACTCAAGTTAGACTCAAGTAAAACTTTCTAGCTTTTCTTGGAGTAAGCTAGAAACCTACCTGTAATCTTCCCGTGTGGCAACCAGACTTGACACATTTCGGAGAATTCCACCACCGCTCTCGATGATGGCCAGCGAGTTGGTTTGACAGCGGTATGTTAGCGTGCTGACGAGGAAGCCCAGAGCACCATCCACTGAACAGATTGCCACTTTGTTTTCAATGCTGTGAGCCGACAGATTCCATAGAGCACTGAGGAGGCTCTTCAAGGTAGACTCCTGGAAAAACAGCGAAACAAAAAAGAGAATCCTTATAAAGAGTGTAAATGCGATGCAAATTTATGGGAAGTTGTGTGCCGGGATATTTCCTGGCTGGGACAAAACATTTCCCAACTTCTTCCACTGGTTACTTACCAGGCCCTAGTGACTGCAAAGCTGATTTTTTTACCGCCACTGTATTTATTAGACTATTTTCAACAATCATTTTAAAATCCCTTTCTTCAAAATAAATCTTACGCAAGCTACAAATCTGCTGTAGAAAAAAATGTATCTCGGATTAATAAAGTAACGATCTACTGTATCTATTGATCCATCCATCTATCTCTGTAAAATATTTGTAAAGAATATATGTTTCTGCTTTTTAGTTCCTCACATATTGCATTGGTAGGTTAGTCCGGCGTTACCTTGGTGGCCTGGAGGGCACAGGTCATCAGTGCAGAAACACATCCGATGTCTCTGAGGACTCTCTTGCTGCTGATATCAGCCCTCCAAGACAGATTCCTGAGGATGCTGGAGACCACCTGATGAAGCTCCTCACTGTCAGAGGATAGCTGGGCTACCAGAGCCTGCAGACAGCTCTTCTTTGAGCACAGAGTAGCCTGTTGGGTGGAGGAGTGGTGGTCAAACAGTCATTGTATATTAATAAGTCATAGTATCTGTACAAAATTTAAATAATAGTGGGGTATTTTCAATGGGTATCTATAAGGCATTGTATGTATGTATGTATGTATGTATGTATGTAAAAACTTTAATTGTCAAAGAATTTTATGTCATGCTTTAGTATGTTGAAGTCATAAAAAGTCATAGTACAGTACGACATACTGACAAAAGTATATTATGTTTATCATTAAAATGATGTATTGTGTGTATATTAAGAAAGTTACAGTATAGTCAATCCTAAAAATGTCATTGTTAGATATGTCTTATTGAGTCACAAAAAGTATAGTATAGTGTGTCCAAAGAAACTCATAGCATAGTTTTTTATGTAAAATAGGGCATTTAAGATAAAAACGTTGCTCTTTGCAATGGCCATCTTAAGGTAATAAAGCACTTAATTTCACCCCCAAAAAATGTCCCCCCAAGTACGCATTGGAATCTCTGAACATTTGAGAGGTTTTTTGGTTAGGCTCTGATCTCAATGACAAACTTTCTATTTTTGTGGAATGCCATGTCCAATAGCTTCTCAGACTCGTAGTTCTTCAACATAGTCATAGTCATAGCGTCATCAAAAAGTAATAGTAAGCTCTATATAGCATGTAAAAAACGACATAGTATAGTATGTGAAAAAATAATAAATTTTCAGCTTATTTTTTAAAAAACAGTTATAAACAAGAGAGAAAAAGTTATAAAGGCCACATTATTACAGTATTTTAAGAAAATGTTGTTGTTAAAAAAAGAATTCAAGAAATGTAAAAAATCTACAATATACTGTATGCTAAAGTAGTAGTATCAGTCTTTACTATACAAGCACAACTCCTGCATTGTTCATCATGGAGTTACATCTGAAAATAACTGCAGCTGTCAGATAAATGTAGCGCAGTATTAATAAGCAAATAGATATAAAGTGGAGGTGAAGTAGAAATGAGCTTACATTGTCAAATAAGTTATAAATAGTATACAGTCTTTGAGAAATGCAGTTAAACGCCACCACTGTTTTCATGTTACTTTAAAAAAAACTTTCTTTATATTTCCATAGTCTGTCTTACGGCTGTTATATCTCTGTTGTCATTTGTGGTATCAATTAAGTTAATTCATCTGTTTGTTTTGTTTTACTCTTTGCTCCATCCGCCAAGCACCACAGCTCACCAATCCATGCACTTCATAAAACCACAGGGATCCTGTACCTTGTTGACGACGTCCCCGAAGGTGAGGTTGGTCACGGCCATCCCTGCGTAGCGGCGCAGTGCCATGTTGATGGGGTCGTTCTGCATACCATACATGTCCTGGTCCAGGTGGATGAGATCGGCCACGACCTGCAGACCGCCTGGCAGGCAACACACAAACGTCTGAGCCAATCATGTTACTGATAGTGTGGGAATGAACAAAAGCACCAGTAGGTGCTGTGAGATACCTAATTCATTCATGGCGCGTCGGTACTCCTCTTCAAAAGAAAGCTTCATGATGGCGCACATGGCCTGGCAGATCTGAGGTTCCACCGGTTCAGGGATGTCTGTGGAGAAGAAAAACAAGAACTATTAAATTTGAGCACATAACACAATTTCTACAATCACTCCACTGGCTCCCTGTCTTATTCCTTAGGTAAGCATGTTGCAGCTGGTCAAGGGGGAAGGTAACTATTACATATAAGCATCGTCATTGTATAGTTGATGTTAATCAGAATCTACAAGTAGCCACCCCTGACATGTAGAGGAGTATCTGATTGCAACAAAACCCGCCAGTAGTTTTTGAGTTCTCTGATTGAAGAGGACTATTACTCACTGGCGCTTTTGGTTCCCCCAGGAGACGACGTCCCCGCGTGGCTCTCGATCCAGTCCCAGCCGCTGTCACAGTAGGTCCGGACCTGCTCCAGCATGTGCAGCACCCTCATCTCCCGGCGGGCCTGGCCCTCGTCCTGCTGGGAGTAGATGATGTTGTGGAGGGCGGCGCTGGCTCTGGATTTGGCCTCTCTGCTGCAGCTTGTCGCCGTAGCGGCAACGGACGTCTCCCCGGGGGCGCCTCCGCCGCCCCCTGGGGCTTCGTGCAGGATCTGGACCAGCAGAGGGACGCAGCCGGACTTCCTCATGGCGATGCAGCTGTCCTGAGAGCTGGACAGAGCCAGTAGGGTCCGAGACATCTCCTCCTTGTCTCTGTTAGCGAGCATGGAGAGCAGCCAGAACACCATCTCCACCTGATGGGAGGCAGAGGACAACTTGAATTAATACGTTGCTTTAAAATGGATGAAGAAGTTGATAAAATAATAGTTTCATGTGCTGATTTTCCTTTTAACAATGTTAAAATTTGTAATAAATTAGTAATAATTAGGGCTGTCCACATTAATGCATTAATCTATGCGATTAATGTGGCCTAGATTAACGCAACAAAATATTTTAACATAGTCAACGTTCGTTTGTTTAATTCTGTCTCCAAGATGATCAAATGTGTGTAGTTTTGTGTTTAAAATAATATTAACAATTAAACAACAGTGTCTAAAATACACGCTTTCTAAAGTGATTACTCCTTACTTTTAAAATTTTGTCTTTAGAAGAAAACCAAACATTCATCATAAACAACATTGTAACAACAACAACATTCATTAATCGCCATCAACAGTAATATTCATTTTCTTTTGAATATTATTCACTGGGGAAATCTTTCTACTTTTAATATTTGAGTCATTTTATTTTGAGTATTTTTATGGTTTAATTGAACTACAAATGCAATCACATCACATCATATTATTATTATTATTTCTCGCTGTTGTTTTACCTTGCTGCCTCCGTCTGTGGGAGCGTCGCTTCCTGCTGCCGCTGATGACGTGCTGTTGTCTGGTTCTCCAGCAGGAGGCTTCTCAGCACCAGACAGCTGCACACACACACACACACACACACACACACACACACACACACACACACACACACACACACACACACACACACACACACACACACACAGAGGGAGGGTGAAGAAGACATGAGGATGAGGTGGGGAAATGAAATAACGATTGATCGGATTCTGTAACCGGGCGGTAGAGTATCTGGTTCCTGTCTGAGAGGGTCCGGTTACATCAGAAGTACAGAAGCATTATATTAAATATATTGTGTAAATTATTACATGATTAAAAGAAATGCTGACTGAGCAATTACAACAGATCTGGGTTACAAGGTTGACCTTTTCCTTCTTTCTTGTGTGTGTGTGTTGCAGTTTAATGGTGAATTAATGTTGGTATTTTGTTGGTATAGTTGGTGCTTAGGGTTTGGTAATAGCTGTTTAACTGACAAACAATAACTTATTCAGACACAAAGAGTAACACTATTAGAGAGTAAAATTTAAAGTGACAATTTAGTGACACATTCTCTAAACTACCAGAGGCTTTGTTTTTTAAATTATTATTACTTATTATTTATTGGGTTTTACTTTTTAAATTTCTAAATTTTTTTGTTTTTGTTTTGTAGCCTCTGATCCTTTACTGAAACACTTTACTTAAATATATGAATATGGATAAATCAATCCATCATATAATAACATTCAATGTTGGCTGATTTAAGAAAAGAACTGAACGTTTCATCGCCTGCTAATCCTCTTTCACACACACACACACACACACACACACACACACACACACACACACACACACACACACACACACACACACAATTTGTCTGCAGACAGTCTTTGGCACACAGACACATCACACCCTGAGGTGTTGCCATGGTTACGGGATGGAGCAGGGGGATGAAAGCTTTAACTCTCTGAGGATTTCAATCTCTGAATCCAAATGAAGCTGTTCTGAGTGTTTTTGTGTGCGTTTCTTGTGTGTGTTTTTACAAAGGAAATCAGAATGTTTTCTTTCTGTGTGTTTGTGACTGTGTCTGTGGCTCTGATCCAAACCTCCTTCATTAAAACAACCACCCAGCTGCACACGTGACCACAAAATCTCTTCATCTGCTTTTCCTTCTCATCCATCAGCAGCAGCAGCAGGGAAAACATATCTTCATATATACAGTAGATCTATCTATATAACTATATCATATATATATATATATATATATATATATATATATATATAATTGTGGGAGATGAAACAACCTAAAAATCATCCGTAGCTCTATTTTGGACCAGGTTTGACCCAGTCCTTTTTTGTTTCCTTTTTCTTAACTTAAAAGTTGCACACAGGAGTTCAAGCCTTTTTTCAAGCGCAAACCATAAAATACAAAATGAAATTCCAGAGTAGAAACACAGATCTGAAAACCTGGTCACCTAAGACTGCTGTCTGCAGAGAGGGATTTAAAGAACGCATCTTTGTGTTTCCTGTACAAACTGAGCCTGTAGGAATGAAATAGTGTCGGCTCGTCTCTTTCTTCCCTCTGCGGCCTCGTTGGTATTCTCAGAGGAAAGCAGAGCGGCAGAAAGGATGAACCGCCTCGCTCCCTTTATCTCAGACGCTCTCACTTCGTGCCAAACCCTGCAGCCTGGCAACAGCCAATCAAAGCTCAGCTTTGAGACCTGGTTTCTCTGCACAGCGACGAGCCAAAATGCAGAGCAACAGAGCGAGGAGGAGGAGGGTTGTCCAGTTCCATGCTATCACCTTCTTCAGGTTTCATTACAGAACAATGAAGAACTTAAGAGATAATCAAGTAAAAATGACAGTTTGAGAGATATTTTGAGTTTATATTGAATATATTGTGTTAATATTGATTATTCTGGTGCAGGCAGTTTACTGTCACAGAAAAACTTTCCTCAAGTATTATTTAAAATGGATTATTAGAATAATTATTTTTTAATTGATAACTAATTTATTAATTCAGGACAGTCAAGCAAGTTTTTTTTAATTATTGTTTGCATATTAAATCAAAACTTCAATAAGATGTATGTTTTGGGCTGGATAGACATAATATATTCTAATGAAATGAAACCGTGTTTCATAATTTTAAAACTATAACTTACTTTTAATAAAGCAAATGTTCTCACCAGTGGAATAATGTGAGACTGTAAAAGATGCGTTACATCGTTTGTTACGTTGAGTTCAACCTGGAATCATTATTCATGAACACAGCTGAGCTCATTTATAATTCAAGAAGTCAGCGCTCGGCTCTGCACACCAACCAGTTACCATGAAGAAGATCCCACTTTACGGATTTCACTGTTTGAGTAGATTTTTTGGGACAGATCTGAAAAAATAGTGTCAGCTGGACTATCACCAGGTGAAAACAGCTGTTCACACACACTTTATCAAGATGTTTTAAACTTTTCTTCATAAAACGTCAGCCATGTTAAAAGAGAGTCAAATATTACTACTATAAAAATCACACTATATTTATTTCTGACCATAAGAGCCTTATAGTTGTTTATGATAGTATAAAAAAAACATAACTTTAACCAAATCTTATTTAAACTCAACTGGAAAAGAAGTGGTGAGCTGTGTTAGTTTAAAAGCAGAAACACCCAAAGAGAAACAATCCAATCCTGTGAACTCATCAGCCAATTAGAAGCTGAGCTGTCAGAGAAATATGGAGACAAACTGGTCAAACCAGGAACATGTTCAACTGAAACCCTTTGACAACGGAGAGAAAGAGAAAGAGAGAAAGTCAGAGATCAGAGCCACAACAACGCAGACTGAGGATACAAGTCTGGATTTTGTTGGGTTTTCCACAGAAGAACCTGACTGGAACATGGAAACTGAAGCAGCTGTAAGTATCTAACTGAGATATTATGCTTGATCGGGATTAACAGCAGAACTTTAAACAAGCCTGAGCATGTACTGAGAGTTCAGAGAGTTCAGAGTGGGTGTAACTTTAAGCCGGAATTTATCATTTGCAAGATTTATAGAAATGTTTAAATCATCATACAACAAAGTATCAGTATAATGGAAATGTGGTATCTCCTGTGGTTATTTTTCTTTTTACATTTAATGAACCAAACAGCATTAATCTACAGTCAAAAAGCTCTGTGAAGCTGCACTAACACACCAAAGAGTCCCAAGCTAAATGCTAACATCAGAGTGTTACATGCTCACAATGACTATGCTAACAAAATCATAAAATAAGTATTTCATGAACATTTAACCATTATTTTACAACAAGCCTCTCTTAAAAACTTGTCTCAAAGACAGAAACAAAGGACTTGGATTTAGCTCATATATCAATGTTATTTGTAACCACGGTTAGAGTTCACTATGCAAAATTCTAAAATGTACAAATAAGTCCTTATTAATCATATTTTGGAGTGGAAATAATAATAAGTGGAAATATAAAGTACAATTTGAAAAGGAGCTACATGAAAATCATCATCTACATTATTAATTATTAATCAACTGTACTTCCTCTGTAGTATACAGCTCAGTTGAATTGTTGTTCGCTCTATCAAAGTCCTCCCTGAGTGTGATATGCAGTGACGTGTTCAACTGCAATACAATCATTTTAACAGTTTAACTACTTCCCTTACATGGCTGGGTTACGTATGGTTAAAGTCTAAAGATCTTACTGTCTTACTTTACAGACATTTACTTTGTTTCACAGTTTTAAATATTTAAATTAGATGCGTGTTACCAAACCTACATAATTTTACATGCATCTGTTAAAACAGGAGCCCTTTGACATCCGTACGGACAAACAAACGTGTCTGGTTGAGAAACCTTCACGGGGAAATGAAGAGACGCTGCCTGGAATACATAGCCAAGAGGATAAGGCAGCCAACGACTGTGACCCAGAAGATCAAACAGACAAAAACACGAGGGGGACAGAGCTTCTAAAGGCGAGTCAGTGGGTCAAAAGCGTCATAAAAGAGGACTTTAGCCAGTTAAAGGAAGAAGTGTTCAATGTGTTCAAGGAGCGAGACACAAGACCATCAAGTCAGGCAGAAAATAAACCTTCCTCAAGCACACTCAATCTCCTGAAAGAGGACCTGAGCCAGCTCAAAGAAGACGTGACCAGCATCTTCAGCTTGTCCAAAGAAACAAAGTGTGCAGATCCTAAAACCAGCCGCTCAGCAGAGAAGACCAACAACCGAATGAGCTTTCTTAACTTTAAAGACGACCTCTTTAACGTCTTCAGAATTGGTCTTTCAAAGGAGAGAGACAAGGATGCTACTGCGAAGCCAGACTCATCCAACACCTCCAAGGAAAGAGCTAAAAGGACGGACAAACCCTTTATGCAGACTCTGTTTAGAAGAGACCAAAAGATTTCCCAGAAGGAGCTTGAAAATTCATTTTCAGAGACGAATAATGAACATATGGACGATGGTTTCAGGGGAAACCTCTCTGAGCACAATGAAGAGACGGTTGAAACCCTGAAACTCGGCAACAACATGACAGAGAGGTTAAATGAAGAGGAGGACAGTGAGGTGGAGGTAACTGTCTGTGATGAGCAGAAAACAAGGCAATCTGAAACACAACAAACTAAGGAGACAAGTGCTACATCACAGGCAGGTAGGCTTGGCCTTTCTCACCGTTAAACTAACAACTAGGGAGAGAGCGTTAAACCTTTGAATCCAAATTCTTCGTCACTGGTTTGAAAAAAGAATAACGTCTTCGGGGAAGGAAAATGCATACAAATACAAAACTAGTCAGATGCAGTCAGTTTCTACACCACAAATGTGGGAGAAGGGGAATTGGGACACAGCTCGCCCACTTATTAACAGCCTAAAGACCATAATGTATAAAACGAAATAGCAATACCACAGAAGGAATTTAATGTGACGAAGCAACTTAGTTATGATTGGGATAAACATTATGTTGTATTGTCGTAGGTTTAAGTAACTATCCTCTTAGTTCTGAAAAACATTAGGGATGTAAGTATGCAAATATAGTTGGGTAACAAACTAATATTAGCTTTATGAACATCATTATTTGCCTTAAAAGTAATACGTGGAATAAATTGTTTGATAAACAGAACTTTGTCTCAAGGCTAAAAATTCCTATGTAGTCTTTCTGCCTGTTGACGCACATTAACGCGTAATGCATACATTTCTCTGTAAAGAGGATGTGGTCGTTGTACATATTCCTGTAAGATCAGACCTCTCGTGCGAATGATTAGGAAACAAAACGGGAACCGAGTAATAAAAATATTGCTCCATAATGCTACGGTAGCATTGTCTGACATTGGCTGTATGGGCCGTGGTCAAACACACAAAATGTTGCCCCATTGTTTTACTTGTGAGCATTCAACAACCTATCAATCCTACAGCCAAGCAGAGACGTGAGAGTGAAGAGTGGAGTGACAGCAACTCTGTTTGGTCAGCCGAAGACGAGAGGATAACCAAAGAAGAAGAAAAACAATCGGAAAAGCCAGAAGAAGACGAAGAAAAAAGGGAACAACAACAAATGAAGCCACCCAAGATTGTTCTCTGGGAGCCTTTGTCCTCTGGGAGCAATCTCTTTAGTCTGAGAAACCTGGACATGGACGACATGGGGTGAGTCATTCTACAGGGGGTCAAAGGTGACACGTTGTTGTAGAATGTTATTTGCATGATGTTGTTATTTCTGCTCTCTTAGGACACAGCCGGGACGAGACCCCTGGGCGGTGAAAAACTGTAAGCTCACAGAGATTTGATATCTTTCTGCTTTCCGAAGGAGATCTACATTTTATATGATATATTTTATATACGTATGACGCCACAATTGGTATACAGGTTATTATTTGTTCCGTGTAAACACCTCATGTTGACATAACATAGTAACACTTAAAGTGAAATAAACTGTTACATGAAGCTCAACACCTATAAATACACATGCATGTCATTGACGGACCGCTGAACTAATGTTGTTCCTTTTTGGGTCAATCAGTTGCCTGTTATCTGACCTTGGACCCCAACACTGCCAACTCAGAGCTGCGTCTGACCGACAGCAACAGGAAGGCGACCCGAGTGTGGCCGGAGCGCCGGCCCTCGGAGCATCGCGACCGCTTTGAGCTCTGCCCTCAGGTCCTGTGCAGGGAGGGGCTGCTGGACTCGGTGTACTGGGAGGTGGAATGGAGCGGTGGTGCCGACATCGGCGTCGCCTACAACGCCATCTCCAGAGACGGAGTCCCAGCCAGCTGCCTGCTGGGACACGGCGAGGGGTCCTGGAGCCTGGAGTGTTCGGAGGGAGCTTATACACCGTGCCACAATAACAACAGGTTCAGGTCCTCCTCCCCCCAGCCCTTCGCCCACAGAGTCGGGGTTTACCTGAACTGGTCTGCAGGCTGTCTGTCGTTCTACTGCGTCTCTCGGGACGCCATGGTCCACCTTCACACCTTCACCACGACTTTCACTCAGCCTTTGTACCCGTGTTTCTGGCTTTGGGCTTATGATGGCTCAGTGTTGCTGACTCAGGTGGAGTTGGACTGGGAACGACTGCTGCAGTGAACCACTTAGAGCGAGTGGAGACCACAGGCTGTGTAAAGTGGTCGTAATTATTGGGACGTCACCCATTGTTTTTTGCAGTGCGGATTACTCGTTGAGCAATTATGGAGCCACCAACTTGGAATACGGCCGTAGACCTTTTTGCCGTGTTTGCAACAAAAAAAAAGTTGCCATATTTAGAATGAAGGAGAAGTGATGTAGAGACTCCGGATACGGCTCTGGTAGCAGCAGTGGCCTGTCAATCACAGTAGGGGCACCCTGAGGCACACCCTGCTTTATGGTCTATTGGACTTTAAATGGACCATCATTTCCTAAATGAACATCATGCTGTGTTGAAGAAGACTCATCTGTCGACGTAAATATCAAAGATATTTGAAAGAAAACCTTCGTGACTTCAGATATCAGAGGCTACGTTACTTTATGAGTCCAGTCTGGGTTCCCTGCTGACCCGGACCAATGCAGCCCGAGCAGGCCAGACAAATCAGATCCACAGTTTTGTACGACTCCAGCTTCCAAAAACGTAACACATGAAGCACATTTGTAACCCCAGCCTACGATCCAAACATGTCAAAGACACCTGAAACTTACAGGTTGAACTCCAGAAGATTTTGATTTTGCATTGAGTCAAATGTTTTCAAGCCAAAAATGAAGTATTTATGAACCCCTTATATTCAATAGATTTAGTTTACATGTGTGAACTTCTCATTCTGTGCTGTATCTGTTAGCGTGTGTAACGTGTGTGTATTGTGTGCATGCCTGACCTGTAGCTCTGTCTCTTGACTCCCTCGGGCCTCTTGCAGCTCAATCTCCAGCTGCTCCAGACGAGCAACACGCATCTGCAACACACACGCGCACGCGTTTAAGACACGTCCAGATGTGTTGTATTTCCAGCCAATTCACACAACAATTCAACAATCTAAATTGAAAAAATGCTCATTTCTATTTTTAATCTTTTACTGATGAAAATCCTTTTGCAATAAAACTTATTGTGTCTAAAAGTGCAAGTGTCCGTCTGGTGAGCAGCCTCACCTGTGTCCTCTGAACCATCTCGTCATTGGTACCGAAACGTTCCTCCATCACAGAACGAACCCGCTGGGCCTCAAACTCCAGCTGCTGCCTGATCATATCCATCTGCAGAGAAAACTACAGAAACACATTTGTAATCAGATTCTCACTCCGACAAAACAATATGGCACAATGCGCTGACTTCTTGTTGAGTCGGCGAGACAACAGAAGCTGAATCACCAGCCAGTGTGTTGATTCATTCATTATATTACTTTCATTCTCTGGTTCAACTTTACCCAGTGTTTTATTCCCCAGTAAAGTGGATATTTGCATATATTTTGGACTGTGGGTGAAACAAAACAGGACATCCCGTTGAACTCTGACTAACTGAGAGATAAATATTCTCACACTGATGATCTAAATGTTCAGCAGCCACGTCCCAAGAAAACGTAGAAGCTCTACTCAAGCAGTGGTCAAGAACATTTTTAAGGTCCTAGTTGGTTATTTCTTTTTGCTGCTACTTTGTAGAAATATAGTACTTTTTATTCCACTCAATGTATTTAACAGCATGACTTGCTTTGCAGATTAAGATCCATATTTTAAAATACAATCAACATGCAGATGATCTGTTGAAAAAGCAACTCAACAGTGTAAGATTAAAATGTAAATGTATGTGTGAAAAGTACTAAAAGTACTTATGCGGCCACTTTATCTGTTAAATGTGACATTTTTGTAACGGTGGAGCTGATTTAATAACTTTAATGAAAGTTGTGTCTTTCAAAGCGGAAATAATATATCTTACATTTTGTGTTATCAGTCTTTAAGGTACCTCAAGTTATTCGGTAAATGAAAGGAGCACACTACTTGAATAAATGCACTTACTTTGGTTACCTACTTTAGGTGTTTTGTGTATGTGTGCGTGTGCGTGTCTGTGTGTGTGTGCGTTCTCACCGTGTCGATGCGAGGCAGTTGAGCCAGTCTCTGAGAAAGCTCCTCCAGCTGGCTGAAGCACCAGCATCGCTCCCTCTCCTCCCGGTCGATCTCCCCCAGCAGGAGGTTCCTACACAAACAGCACCGCCAGCATCAGAAGTGCTAAACGCAGCGACTCGTTGGCCGGAAAAACACACATCACGCCAACTGAGAGGAATTCCTGGTCACGGCTCGCAGATATGTGGAGCTACAAAGGTGCGTCCACACATCGGAAGAAGTGGCAACGTTTTCACTAAATTGGGACACTAGTTTCAATTTATTTATGTTTGAATTTCTTCTATAATGGGGTCAGGTTCACTGGTATTATGTTGTAATGGCCATTTTACTTGTATATGTGTATTTAAGTGTTATTATGATGAAACACTTGATTATGATTAGTAGGCCTACGGATAAAGTTAAGTACATTGATAGAGAAGAATAATTCATATGATCTTTTTATATGATACATGTCATGTATATGCAAGTGCATTTTTCCTATAAATTCATTAATGCTACTGTAAATCGAATCTTTCTGAAGACATTAGAGTTGTCCTGCGATTGGCTGGCGACCAGTCCAGGATGTACCCTGTCTATCGCCCGAAGTTGGCTGGGATGGACGCCAGCCCCCCCCGCGACCCTGTGTGCAGGATAAGCGGTTTGACGATGGATGGATTAGAGTTGTCATGTCATTATTTGGTGCGATGGAAAAGCTCAGCTTATTCACTCTGTGGAGAACATCTGCAGCTCGTTGGCGGAGATGGTTTGACCAACATGTCAAATCCTCTCACCTCTCCTTGTACAGCTCCTCCTGGTGGTGGTCGCTCATTCGTCCATCCGCCCCGCTGATCACAGCGGTTTTGGGCGGCGCCCCATCCAGGAAGTGGTGCGGCACCAGCATGGCGGCCGCTTCCCCCCCGGAGGCGGCGCTCAGGCGGGACGGGCCTCGAAGAGGACTCCTGGCTCTGCTCACCGCCGAGGAGGAGGAGCAGGAGGAAGGAGGCAGAGTCAGACGGTCGTCGAGCTCCGCCCCTGCCATGCTGTCCGTCAACAGCCTCAGGTTGTGAGGCTCGTGCTTGAGTTCGTAATAGTTGGTGAGGTCCATGTGGAGCTCTGTGGAGGGAGGGGGTCAATAAATGAACCACGCAGGAATCCTTCCTGATGCTGTTTGACTTTTGCTAAACACAGCTGATCATGATGCAGTAATCCAGTGGTTCCCAAACATATTCTGCCAAGGTCTCCTTTGAGGACATAGGGACATTGTAAGACCGTCCCCGATCGAAAACAAACATTTAGAGTCATTACATTTTGTAACGTATTTTCAAGTAAATTTACTTTCAATAATACAATTCAGGATAGGAATATGACACTTTTACATTTAACAGGTGTTTCAAACCATTTTCATTTCTATTTTTAATCTTTTACTGATGCTTCATCACTTCCCCCCAGTAAGGGGGTTGGTGATGAAGATGGTTGGTGGCGGTGATGATGACCTCCTTCCGGCAGTTTGGGATCCACTGCAGTGAGCATCAATTTGGAATGTGGTAATGGGGGAAGTCCAAATGGTGCTTTTTTTCCACAAATGTATCTTGGTATTCCAAGATTTTAACATTCCTTCCCTTCCTTCCTTCACTTAATTTCTTCCTTTACTTCCACTCTTTCCTTTTTCCATATATTCTGCCATTCCAGGGCTTTAACAAACAACCTTCTGGTCACCAACGCCCTTCTTCCTCTTCGTCCTTCATTTGTTCTTCGATTCCTCCTGTCCTTCTACCTCCTAACCTTCAATTGTTTACTTCCCTCCTTTACTTCTTTCCCTTCCTTCTTTTATCCTTCTTTCCTTTTATCCCTCCCCTCCATCCTACTTTCCTTATCCCTCTTCTTCTGCTTTCTTCCTTCTTTCCTTACCTGCCTTAATCCCTTCCAATTATCTCGTATTCATTATTCCTTACGGCACAGAAGGAATCCTATAATCACATCTGCTGTGGATCTCAGCAAGAGTTAATTTGATTTTCAGTCCCGACAAACTAACTGACAGGAATTCGTTGTTTAATTGGATTGAGTCATAACGAGGAACAGCCAGCTACAGCCAATCACATTAGCTGATTGAGTCAATTCCTTTCCGCGTGAGCGTCGATTGGTCTCGGCGGAGCCTGAGAGCGCCCAGCGGACTCGAGTACAGTCAGAGATCCCTCTGTGTGTAGTAACAGTGCAGGGACCTTTAAGGAACATTGCCAGATGTCCCAAAGCTGATACGGACCTTTCAGTTGGTGCAGCACGTCGCTCCTCCCGGACGAGGCCAGTGTTCCCGCCTCCTGCTCCAGTTTGCTCTGCAGCTGCTTCAACACCTCCTGCATCCCAAAAGGGGTGAAACAACCAAAGATCAACATACAGAAGAGACCCCGAGGGCCGGGGGGCCAGACAAAGGTTTGACCCAGAAGGAGAAAGAAGGAGGAGAGCTCATTGAGTCAGACCTCCAACACACGGCTTGGTGTGCATGTTGTTGGCGAGTCGGAGCTCATGTCTGCAGAGTCTGTTGCGTTGATTCCTTCAAGCTGACAAATGCAAATATTCACGTCTGTCATGTTGTCACACAAACCGCAAATGGAAAATGGATCTACTTGTCAGGTGTGCAGAATCAATGCAATGTAGTCCCTTTCAAGAGAAGGACACAGACTATTTTACTCCAAACAAAGACGTGGTGTCTTTAAAAATAAAGTGTACTGAGGTATGATCCTCAACCACAACCCCATTCCAAAATAAATCAATTTATATCTTTTAATTTGGCTGTTAAACTACACATAATAATCTCATTTTAGTGAACTGTCAAGAACACCTTATGCATTCCTCCTTTGCATTTGAATTCAAATTCAGCATTTTTATTGCATATCGCATCATATCTCAAAGTATCCTCTGGATCAAAATTCATCAAAACTGCAAAAGAACATCGTCAGAATCCAATAAAAACGGTTGAATCCATGAGTGGTCAATGTAATGTCCCTTTCCATCTCAGAGAGAATCAAAGTTATTCCTTCAGGTCCAGAGGAGCTCCGCAGACGGATGTCACAGAAGGAGGAGCTCTCTGGTCCTGCTGCAGGGGAATCGAGTCTGAATCGGATAAAACCAGCTGAGCTGAGTCTGATAATCCTGCTGCTGGCTGCTTCTGGACACGTGAGTGTGTGTAGTCACATTCATGTGTGCACATGCATGTGCGCATATTTATATATATGCCATGGTTAAATATTTCTGCATTTGGATTTGTTGGTTTGGGTAAGATAAGGTCACCTTGGACAGCTTGTGATGGACACAATTTACAACATTCTTTAGACCAATCGATAGATCAATCAAGTAGATTATAGGCAGTTTCACCATCAATGTTGCAGCCTGACTGTAAATCACTAAGTGCAGTAGTCTTCTTTCGATCAACGTCGACTTTCTAAACCAACCATCGGTGGTTTGATTGACTTCCTCTCGCATCTAAATGTGGAGCTTCAGAGCAGAAGCCCCTGAGAAGTCATTGATGCTGCATCCAGACTGACCTTCATGCCGGTGGTCTCGGTCTCCAGTTTGGACAGGTGGTGGGAGTTGTCCTCCAGCTCCCTCCTCAGGTGGGAGTTCTCCTTACGGAGCGCCTCCACCTGGTGGGCCAGCTGGTCGTACGAAGCAACGGCGTTGGACATCTTCACACTCGGCAGCGCCCCCTGCAGGAGCCCAGAGGAGGAGTTAGACGGAGTGATAACAGGCTGGTGTTTGTATGGACCTGCTTGACACACATTGAGACCCTTTGACGCGTTGGTGCTCCTTCTGCGTAATAAGATCACAGCCACGTTATATGAATATCTCCAATATTGTGCTAAAAACACATGAGGGAAAACATTTCCAGCTCTCCTGCGGCCCACTTTTATTGTTAAGTAGCCGAATGCTACCAGTTTACTCAGTCGCATTTAAGAGGGAAACGGCTCGTGAGTTGGATTTGTGTAACTTGTTTCACACAACGACTCCAAGCCGATTGCCTGCAGAAGTCGCGGCTTGTTTTTCAGTTTAAATTAAATTAGTCGTCAACACAGTTGGCGGTTTAGTCTGTACAACAGCCAGACAAAACACCACCAAACCCCACGCAGATAAAGTCGATTTTAGGCCGATACCTTGGTTTGTTCTACTCTTAAAAAGGAAACTTCTCTCTTTCTGCTTTGTTGGTTCTGTTCATGTTCAGAGAGAAACGAGGTCTCCACTTTCTTTTCCTCCGCCTCTGCACCAGATGGCTCGCAGGGAGTGTCGAATATTCTGTCACTTTGGATTTTGGCTCAACGTTTCTCAGTCTGTTAGGTAACATGTTATCCAAGTTTCTCCTGCGGCTGTTTTCCAGCCTCCACTCATCCGACACTGAATCGGTCTGATAACAAATTCTCTACTCGCTGAACCCATTTTCATCTCTCTTTTGTCATCGTTTCACAAATTGTTCGTGCAGAACTGATAAAAGCAAACCCAAATCTTTATTTACGAATTCATTCATTTAACTTAATTTAACTTGAACTTCTTTGGAAATGTGTTTTGTTCCGCTGTGCATTGTATTCTCCTGTGATGCATGTTTTAATTGGTACCCAATATTGTTATATAATATATATATATAAATATAAAAATTGCATTGACTTCCGAAGCAAACACTGTGTAGATCATGTTTAATCGAAACTCAAAGTTCTTGGTTTTTAATCAAGTGCGTAATAAAAGTATCTTCAGATAACCTTTTTCCTGCACAGACTGGGTACTGAGGATTTTATCCCCCTCCACATACACACTTTTGAATGATTTAAATGAACCTGGTGTGAGGTGAAGGAAATATTATATAATTATATAATATACATTATATATTATATCAGGCTGAACCTGTTTCAGTCTTCATCTGGAAACAGGACTGCCTGCTGTCCTTTTGGTACTGCAGTGCATGCTTACATCCTAATAACAGGTTGAACGTTGTATTCTTCTTCATCCATCCTGAAGCATGCACAGTTCACTAATCGATCAACACACCGATCAATAAGCAGACGACAGATCGAGTCTGTGTGACACTGTGAGGTCATTACTTTGGGGCCGGGGCTGCACATGCTCAGTGTGTTCATGTGATTGAGTCAGAATGTGACCTTCACTGCAGAGACGATGAGTCTGTGAGCTCCGACCACCGCGTAAAGAGGACGGGCCTTCGCTGTTTGTTTGTTTTTCATTTCAGACTGTAAATAAAAACACTGTGTTTTTGTTGCAATTCAGAGGATTTTGAATGTTTTTTTTGCAGATCTGGATTCAGCAGGCGGCCGGTGCACCAAATGTCACTGCTGCAGCATTCATGAAGAGGAGCTGGCCCTCTGGGGATTGTGGGTAGGAGGAGGAGGCCGGAGGCACCTGATCCAGACTGTCATTTAATGTGTTTACTGGACCAGTGACCATGTTGCTGATCGGACTGCAGAGGATAGAAAGGATCTCGTCTTATTCTGACCCATTTATATCTGGATGCAGCTTTTTGAGAGGTCCATTTGTTACCATCATTATTCTTTTGATCTAAACAGTTTTTATCTAAACACTTTAGATTAGATTAGAACAGATTAACGGCAGATTGTAATTAATTAGATGAAAACATATTAACCCCTTTAGTTTTTATTTTTAGTAAAAAGGTGATCCTGTCAATCAATTGGATCCAATTCTGTCTATATATATATATTCATACAAAGTGTTATTCCTTTTCAATGAAGTAGTGGAAGAGCCATTACCAACTGAGCAGCAGAAAGGCACATACTTTATATTTATATTATATATATATTCTTTGTAAATATGTATAATGATATCAAGATCAAACTGCTGGATATTAAGAGGCCGATTATTAAGACACTGAAACTAAGTGATTAATCAAACATGTGGCCAAATGTCTAGAAAGGCGATACCAGGCCACTGTGGGGTCATTGATCCACTTGGAAGGGGGAGGACTAAAGGCATAAAACTAGCTTCCTGTGGGCCAGAGTGATGAGTCAGCGTGTTCCACCATCATCTACTGCAGGTCACACCCTGACCATGAATATGTAAATCCTAAAACCCCACCACGAGACATCTGAAAGGCCCTGTAGACATCCGAGCAGTGTACACGGCAAAGCGGGGGAACTGTGTGTGTATTTATGTCAATGATGACATCAACCCAGAGACCGCACAGAGAGACCAACGGCACCAGCAGATCGATGGAGACCAATGACTGGAGCATTGTGACACTGTGGACTGGTTCAGTTCACACTCTCAATGCTCTGTGTACATGACAATTAAACATCCTGCACTGGTTTTATACAAAACCACTTTGCACACAATCAACCATTATGTTTAACCGAAGACGTTTAAACCGCAGGCATCAATGATACAGAACGAGAAATGTGTGTGTGTGTGTGTGTGTGTGTTTGTAAGTAGGCCCCCATCATATAGACCTCTGATGGAGTGTGTGTTTGTGATGTCGGTGTTTCTCATCAAAATCTTGCTTCCACACATACGTTGATGTCCTGCAGTACCATGGTCCAGCCCCGCCACCATCACCATGGTGACACATTTACATGCAGAGATATTTCTTTCTGCCTCCATTGTCTTGTTTTGCACCCACACACACACACAGAGCGCTTGCTGCTGCAGTTGCTGGCGAAGCATGCTAGCTTAGAAAATGTGGAGCTCCCGGGAGGATAACAAATCGTTAACGCGGCCCGTCAGGTTGCTATGGCAACGGACATTCTGATGCGTGTGACCCCGATATGAGAAGAGACACCAATGAGAGGAGATGAAACGGGAAGAGATCAGAGAGTAAGAAAGAAAAGGCATCAAATCATCTGCTGCTCATTGCAACGATTGGCCATCAGGTAGCAAGATGTGATTTGATTTTCTGTTATATGCTCAGTTCGTATCTACCAGAGTAAAACATTTAAAAATATAAAAATTGAATCTATTACCATGAAAAGAAACACTGTCATGGTAAAAAGAGTGACCTTTTTACCATTTACAGTTTAGGTCTTGTTTTCGATTGCAAATGTTTTATTTGATGGTAAATGTTGAAGCCACTGTCCTTGCTCCCTAATTTAAAACGGATTTGTATCAAGGTTGTACTTGCAGTGCAATTATGATCATCAGTACTGCAAGTAGAATAAATTCACAGATTAGTCTTCCTCAGCCATGTAAAGGCCTACTCATATAAATGAGTAACATTACATTATATAATGACCGATATTGTGGCTGCTGTTTGAGGCCTGATACGTCTTCTTCCTCCTAATAAAGGGTATTCCTGTCTTCATTCCTGACCTGAGCTGTTAAAACCGACTGTGTAATTATATAGTATATTCTGCTGCTCACTGTCCTTATGAAATCAGATTTTTGGATCTCTAACTCTCTCAGCAATATATGGTTGGAAATTGTTTATTCTGTATCTGAACAAAGGGAGTGTCGATCCCTCCCAACCCCACCTGCTCCACCCCCACATCCTACCCAGCCTGCATCTCTCTCCCTGTGGGAGAAGTCTGGTTTCCGTGGCAACCGCATCCTCCAGGCAACGAGAGGAGGAGAAAATGGCGTCGGAGTGTGGAAAGCGAATGCAGTCAAACATCCAGATCTCTAAAAACATCAGTTTCGGGTTTTCTAAAAGATCTTTGGTCTGTAACTGTAACACAGCGCGTCATCATGATTGATGTCGAAAGCCAGAAAAGGACTTTAATGCAACATACACAACATGTCGCACATGGTTTTGTTTTTGCTGCAGCTATAGGAGCACCAAACCAGCTGTGAATGTTTCTACTAACACGCTTGATGTGTCGCGTCCTCTGTGCCATAGAGCTCCATCATCAACAACGAGCCTCACTGTTGCACTGCGAGACCCAATAGTCCCCAACACTATTTCTGAAAGCTACTCCCACAGTTTTAGGGAAATACTTTCATTTTGAAGATGAAAATACGTATTGCACCACAGACAAGAAGAAGGGCAGATTTGGGACATGGACCTGAAAAATGATCCTGTATGTAACAAAAATGAAAAAACAATTAGCAGATGGTTCACTTATCTTATCCACATGAAGCCTTTGCTGTTCATTCAACAGGATTCTTCTAGCACAACTACAAACTGTCACGTCATCACGGAGTTGACACAACTAACAGTATACTTGCGGTTATGCGAGCAAAGGCTCTGCAACAAACAAACTAATGACATTGTTGATTACCTTTTTTTTTTTTAAATGCAGATATAGAGCCTGAAGTCATTGCTCTCACTGCTCAGTGGGAAACCAACGTCCTGTCTGAGGCCCGCTGAGTCACACTCAGAGCAACACGGACCGGACATCTGAACTTCTGATTCTAACTGACAGTCTAATGCACACAGGTCAGAGGTCAAACTCCTCTAACCTTTCTCATTACATCGCGCTGTTACTCAGACCTAAAGAGAAAACTACAGACCTCGTGATATTAAAGAAAAAACATTACCAAGACACAAACTTGTTGACATCTAAATGACCTTAGGATCTAGAAATTGTCTTGCAACGGTTTTACATTCCTGGGATTAAGCACCACAAACAGGCTGAAATGGTCATAACACACCTCCACCCTGGTGAAGCATCCGTTATATTGGTGACAAGGGGGGCCTGCCAAGACCCCAAAGGTTACTGAAAGACTCCACAGCCTGCTCACCCTGCTGCCCTGGAAACAAGTACACACGTATCAGCTGCTTCAGCACCAGACCTCAACAACTTGATCACACACTGAATCTCAGAGACACTCAAACTAAACATATATCTCTTCTGATTTTGTGAATCAATCATTTTCAGATTGATTTCCTTTCTTCCGGTCAGAAGCTGGTTTCACTTAAACGGGGAAACTTGAGGGTAGTTGCAGAGAAACAGTGTAACAGGTTTGATTGTTTGCTTACTTACAAACATTCTCATCATGTTTTGATGTTTTTTTTGTTATTGTGTTTAAGGACACTGGGACATCCGATCACTCAAATTGGCCTTTTCTGTGTTAAATATACAGTATACAACATTTATATAAATAAGTGGTCAAGAAATTTAAGTTTCCAAAGTATAAATAAGATTTTCTAGATATTTTCTAGATTTATAGATATACTTTTTGATTTGACCGCTCAAAGAAAGAAAGGAGTAACTTTAAAATAAAGATGAACTGACATTGAAGCATTACCTCTCTGCAATGTCACTGCATATTCATTTGCATGTGTTTTAGGGGAAGTGAAGGTTTTTACTTTTTTATCCCACTTCACAACACGTTGAATGTCGATGGATATCACATCGCCATGTTGCATGCAACTAATAGTTTACAATGTGCGCATTATCTGCTGTGGCAGACCTGTGGTGACCTTGTCGTAGTTATTCACCACTTTGCCAAAATCCAGAATAAAGCCTTGAGACCAACAGTTAAAATCTATGTGAGAATCTGAATAAACTGATTATTACAAAAACTTCTCCTACATGATTCTCGAGTTGAAAGTGGAATTTATTGGACATTTCCTCTTGGTTTAATAACGCTGATCAGTAAAACTGAGATGGTACGTACAAGAGGATCCACACGCTGCATCCAACACAACAGGATCATACATATCAGCAGGCGATCAATGATTCAGTACCAACACTGATCAGGAAAACCATCAAAGCTGAACATGAACTTTGCTGACCGTCAACATCCCAAAACCGCAACCTGCAGTGTCACAGTGATGCTGATCTCGTGACCTTTGTCCTTGTGAGGACACTTTGGCTCCTCTCTAACAGAGGCAAGTTTTACAAAAATGTAATGACATCCAACTATAAACTAAGAATTTGAACTTTGTGCTTTACATAGAATGTCATATCGAATAGCATTACAATATTATTGAGATTATTATTAAAAGATTATGAATTGTGTATGAACTTCACTCAGGAAATATCTCCAACAGACTGAGTCACGTATTAATAACAAGCCACCTTGTTTAACATCGTACTGCAATTTTCCAGATTTTACCTTTATATTCATCCCCTGGATAAATATTCACAGGATTCACTTCATAGATAAAACAGAAAGCCAAATAGATCCATGTTGAACCAACAAACCAAACATTGACATGTTTAACGAGCACACGTCACACAGGGTCCCTTTAGTATTCTTATTTTCAAAAGAGATCAGTCCATCTTTTACTGTATATGCTTTCACTTTTCATATCAGATCCACAAATCAACGATAAATGAGCCAATACGATGGAAATAATTAACAAAATAAAACCCTCGTTAAAAACAGCTGACCATCAAAGAGAGAGACTATAAAGACGCACAGAGACAAACGGAATAAATGAGCAGCCTGTGAGGCTGCGCGGCGGCCTGCGGCCAGAATGAACCAGTGAAACCAGCGCAGACTGGGACGGACCGCAGGAGACGTTCAAGGACACACATCCTCAACCAGCCGGAAACCAAGCAAACATCTAAAATCACATCCAACCAATATCCACATGTTTGGACGGGCTCCGCGCGTCCACGTTTGAGAACATTCGTGTTTGCACGCACATGTAAATAATTAGATAAGGTTACATTTCTAACAGACATATCCGCCCGTTTATTTAGTGAATTACATTGAAGCATATGTTTCCTCTGCTTTTCTATTATCCCGTTTGACCTTTGAAATGTGCGTGTTTTTTTCTTCTGTTTTGTGTTCTGACGACATCTATGATTCATCCGCTCCTCCATCCTCCATCGCTCAGCCGCATGAGGGAGGAGGGAGCCAATAGGACGCATCCTGCAAAAAACACCTTTTACCAAATGCACATGATGAATTAGGCTAAATGAAAATAAATGATAATAAGTGTAATCCAAAAACGTGATATAGATCTTTAAAAGTGGGATTGAAAAGCTGCTGGTTTTGTTATCCGGACCGAACAGTCTCCTCCCATCTGATCTGCGCTGATCAACGAGCCTCTTTTTGTCTTTAATTCAAAGCGTTTTAAAGAACTGGACCGAGCCGGGCCAAAGGGAGGCCATGCGGACCGGTGCAGACGGTTTACCCGGTTTAGGAACATGTAAAGATTATTGTGAATAATAGAAAGAAATATAAGGAGCGGTCTGGTCTTACCTCATGACTCGGAGCTGAGCTGACAATCACTGAGCGAGAGAGAGAGGGAGAGGGAGGGAGGGAGGGAGAGAGAGGAAGAGAGAGGGAGGGAGGGAATGAGGGAATGAGGGGGGAGGGGAGATTCTATTCTAATTGATAGGTCTATGCTATTTTATTTGTTTATGAATCATTTATTAATTTCAATCAAAAACAATCAATAAAACTCAGCAGCCTACCTGACAAAATTAGTAAAATTATTACAAAAAAGGACAAAAAAAATGTAAAAGGGCTGTAAACCTCAGAGCATCCTCTGTGATGGCCAAAATAATTATTTTGCTTACGCTCTTCCCCATTTTAGCCTGTATTTAGGGGTCCAGTTTGATTTATTAACAGCTCTTCTTTGCTATTCACTTTGGAGCTTTTCACCCGTGCTGATTGTCTCCTGCCTCAACAATATTGTGTCCTTGCGTCAGAGGAAATGCAAGAACTAATAGTGGCAAAACAAATTTGTCTACCTAATGACTAAAAAGTATTTTTGGTGTACTCACCAAAGTACTGCCATTCGGAAGTACTTCCAGTTCCAGCTAGATGCCGTTCTGATGCCAACCTTCGGACCCGGGGGTTGAGCTGTGCTATACAGGCCAAATCACTCCCCATGCAGAGGTAGAGATCCAATGTGTTTTCCAATGGATTGCTTCCCATTTTACCACCCAAACTCACTCTTTTACAAGTCCACATGCAAACTCCCACAAGCCCAACAAGGCTTAAGAGATGAACACCCGGTCAACTGTTCCATGATGGAATCCACATAGCTTTTCCATGATTTGGGGTTTGACCATGAGAGCGTCCTTTGCCAGCACACTGGAATGAGGCGCAGCAGTGTACCCAGAGCACACTCTCATGTTCATTGTGAGCCAGGCCCTGCTTCTAAAAGACTACCAGAACCTCCTTGAAGCCAACTGAAGGCCCTTCTCTCCCTCCAAATTCCCACTCACCCTGGATCTTCCCTCAGTGACCTCTAAAGGCACGACCCTTCTGGTCTCGGCCTGCAGCTTCTGGGGACATCTGGCTGACCGAGCCTGAAATGTATCCCATACTCCCATATCCCAGAGGGTTCTCAAGTTGCCGCAGAAGCAGTAAGAGACAGTGTTTCGAGCCGGAACTCTCCAATAAGGGTTTTCAACATGACTCGCTGGATTCAATGTGCCAAGCCGTGTGCACGGCTTGGCACCAGGTGCTGATCAGTTGTCGGCTCTGTTCACCCTTTATTTAACGATCTGGAGATACGACCTTCTGATACCGAGTATGCTAATAACTCAGCCGTGCCGAAATATCATGTTTGCTACGGACGATTCATGCAAAGAAGTCCCATAACAAAGTACCCCCTGAGGTTCAGATCCCCCTCCAGGGTTCTCCGTTGTTGCAGAGTTGAAGTCCCGCGGGAGAACTATAAAAAGTATCTTACTGGGACAATGAATTATGCTGGAAGGCCCCCGTCCCTCGGGGCTAATGTTAAGCTACCATTTAGGTACGGTATTGCCCAAAACTCGTTGTTTGCCCAGGATTACAATTTTGAGTGTGACAATATTTAAAGAAAAAAGGTACGGTAAGTACTTGTAATAAAAGTAACACCATATTGTTGGAAACAAATAATACAAATATATGATAAGACAAACATACGTTGCGAAATGCGGGAAGCTGGACATATGTGAAGGCTCATTGAAGTAAACTGTAATGTATATATGTATATACACATATATACATAGATTCTTTCATTTATTTATTTATATATATTTTTATTTTACTCACACTGTCCACTAGAGGAAGCCACAGATCTTCTGATTGGTCCCACTGTCCCTTCAAAATTAAACTTACAGAACCATCTAAAGTTTCCCCTGATGTCGTGACACGTTGACAATAACCAATCACTTATCGATCACCACTAACAGTGAAATGCAACATAGGAATTATGAACATTTTACTGCACTATAAATCGCTCTATAGTTTCATTTCATTGATGATACATTCATGCTCTTCAATGCAGGACTTTAACTTGTAGTGGAATACTTTCATTGCAAAAAAAAACTTTCAATGCGGCAGAGTGGGCCGATTAAAAAGGTCTGGGCCTGCACACAGATATTACACTGGCAAAGTATTTGTACTTCTTCCAAAACAGCTTTTCCGGCTTGGTTAGTGTATTTTTGTTAGTGTCACAGATATCAAGAAGGAAAATATATAATGTCATTATTTTCTCTTTGTTTTACACATTACTTCTGTAATATTTCAGAAGTAATACATTATCTTCAGTTCTTTATAGGGATCTGATGTAACACAGTAACATACAAGACAAAATCATATTTTTCTTTAATGTCATAATAATTAAAAACAATCAAGATCTTTAATACTTTCAAACATTATAATGTATTTCTTGAGCTTAAACCAAGCATTGTCGTTATTACAGTGCATATTTGAATAGTGTAATCTTATGGGACTGATTGTTTCATAATGCTTTCTGTCAATGACGCAGGAGTGACGCTAATGGAGGTGGAGGGAAAATGTATTTTTACTTTGGAGGACGACGACGATGTGAAGGTGTCAAGGTGCGGGCTGGAAATAAGACTTCCGCGGCACAGTTAAGGCCTTTCAAATAAAAGCGCTTTTTTTTCTTTTTCCTTATTATACCTAGTTAATTCAGCGAGACCTATATTTAACCGGAATATTCGCCTGACTTCAAATATGAATGTGATAGTTAACTATCACATGACATAAAAACATTGTCGAACCATAAAAAGACTCGTTCTTCTATTTGGCTACATTTTTATATTTTATCTTACGTTTTTAAGATTGCTTCTTCTAACTATTTGGATGCTGTGGGGGAAATCAATGTTTTTGACAATTTGCGTACCCTTAAGTGGAGCAATCTGGTGCTTTTATTCTGATAATCAAACGGGAAAACTCAAACGACCTCCTTGTTTCCTTCTTTTTGCCGGAGATGCGGAGGAAGGAGTTGGTAGTGATGGAGGGAGGACTGATGTGTCTTGATGAGCAGCGGGTCTGATGATGACGACGATGACGAAGATGATGCTGTGAGTCAGAGAGCGGAGGGTTCGGGATGCTCACAGCCGCTCCGGAGTAGACCAGACCCCGCGCACAGACACCGAGCACCCGCCTGAGGAGACACGGCGAGTCCGCAGACTCTACGGACCCTACACCGACAGCAGGGAGCGGACTGACAGCAGCCATCACTTTGTGCTGGTCAGTGTATAGTTTCTCTTTGTGTGTGTGTGTGTGTGTGTGTGTGTGTGTGTGTGTGTGTGTGTGTGTGTGTGTGTGTGTGTGTGCACGTTCATCCAAACCCTCGGCTGCGCGTGCCCGGCCCTGCGCCCGTTCCAGCCATCTTCACTTGGAACGGGAGTCAGACTGATCACCGTGACGCGAGGGGATAATGAGCTGCTGATTGAAACGGAGAACAAAGCAGCGGGTCAGCTGTTTGTGCGTGCGCGTGTGTGCGCGTTGTAGCTACAAACATGTCGTGTTTGCGTTGTTAGCAGAGAAGTGCAAATATCCACACAGATGTAGACATGCGGGAATATTGCCAAGATGATGAACTGACGATATGAAGATAGATTTGATGTGTTTGAGGGTATTATAAGCAGTGATGATATGTCTGATAGCATTATGAGCGGTGATGACAGATTTAATATTTTTGAGTGATGGAACTCAGAGTAAAATTATTGATTAATTCAAAAAGTAGGCTAGAAAAGTAATGATACTCCAATAATATTACACAAGTCCAGATAACATGAAGCCCAGATGAAGCATGAAAAAACTCAAATAATCCATCATGCAGCAAAATGGCTATTTAGTTTATGTTATTGGATATTTGTTAGATTAATTTAGTAATATACTTGACTACTCAAAGCAATGTAAATATTATAGTATAAAATGTGATCACATAATATATTGTGTAGTTTCCGCTCAATCTTTGTGTTTTTCAACTAATTACTGGTATTATCATTTTACTATCCACAATTTAAAACGGGCACTACCGAAACATATAATTGATACTACAAGTTCCACTGATAACACTTAAAAACCCATAAAACCAGATGACAAAATAAACTCCCATGTTCTCTTAGTTTGTCAAAATGTAACTTATATTTTGTTATAATATACGTATGCTGTTCTTAACCAAAACATTCTAATAGATATAATTGATCAAATTGTATTATGTGTGATTTTTGAAGCTGTTGAAAATGGAGAAGAGAATAATAAAATGAAATGTTCAGTAGAAACTGTGGGTGAGATTGTGAGGAGTCACAAACATAACACACACACACACACACACAGATTCAGTTTAAGAGTTGTGTGTGATATCTATTCTCAGTGGCAGTAGGTGTGAAGTAATGCTTTTTCTTTCAGTGTGATGGTGTGATTTAAACAGTAGTGAAAATGACACAACTTAATCTGTTGATTATCTAGCATAGAATTCAAACATATTAACATTCTGGGGGGCAGCGTGTGCCTGTTGTGTTTGCTCAGACAATATCGACTTCCTGTCACGCTCACGTTATTACCCTCAATATTTCTAAGAATGTGACATGTGAAAAGAACAGATTTGATTTAGTCATTGATTTTCCTCAATGACCTATTTTTTGCAGGCTGTTACACAATGTCCTGGTTCTAGTTTGCGTACTGAGATCTTTGTAAGGAGCACCACAAGGCTCCATCCTGGGGTGCTAATGTTTGAGTCTTCTATATCTGGGATCAGTTTATGAAAGATTCTTCACACTAAATAAGAACAGAGGTAATTGTTAGCTTATCAAACTGCCCCCGCCACCAATAGAATGAAGGAGAGGAAGTCAACTACCAAGTACGCATTTCACCAACAAACAAGCACTCAATAACCTCATGTTATTTGATGCACATCGCTATCGCTCACTTGAAACTAAAAATTAATCATTTCTAATTTCTGGCTCAACTGTGATTTTATTTTGTGAAGATGACTATTGTAATAGAAAAGATGTGTATGGGAATAATTAGATACGTCCGCCAAACAAAAGTGGATATTTGGGGGATTTTGCAAAGAATAAAAATGAAATAATGGTACAGGGGGAGGAAATCTATAACTATGATTTACGTTTTGTTTCACTTCCTGGGACTCAGAGTAGGAGGATTAAGGATGTCATATTGTAATTCGTCCGGCAGCTCACTTTCACTGGACATTACGGTCGTGACTGGGGCTACGGGATTATATGTGTCAGATGATTACTATGTTATTATTACTACCTTCCCTTATAAGTTTTTCTTTCCTAATCAAGAATGAGGCTGACGGACATCAGCAAAGTCCCAACGTAAATTAACAATGTAATGATAATAATCTCACAGTTTTGTTCTGTTTGTGATGAAAGCAGATTATATCCTTTAGCTTTGATGCCCCTGGTTGAGTTTTCCCTGCCACCCGCCTCCGCACAGGAAGTGACGCCAGATGATGTGGGCAGGCGGGTTACCATGACAACGGCCCTGCTGATGATGACATGTTTGCACTTCTCTGCCAGTGTATAAATCTCTACTTTCTGTCTCTCTCTCCTCCGAGCAGCGTCACCGCGGCAACCAGACAACTCACACGCACATTCAAAACATTCAGATGCTCCCATGGTAACATCCAGAAATACAATGGATGCTATCAGGAGACAGGTGTGTGTGTGTGTGTGTGTGTGTGTGTGTGTGTGTGTGTGTGTGTGTGTGTGTGTGTGTGCGCGTGCGTGCGTGCGTGCGTGCGTGCGTGTGTGTGTGTGTTTTTGAGAGTGATTGATTACCGAGCGCGTGGTTACTCACTGGTCTAAATGTGTGGTTGAGATAATGACTGCTGATGTTAGTGCTCTAACTGAGACTTTCATCTGTGACAGGCAGCTGCTGATTTGAATTCAAATGCAAGAAAAACAGTTCAAAAGGGCTTTTTAAATTCTGGTTGACAAGTACACAGCGACACAGAGGGGGGGGGGGGGGGGGTCGTATTTCAACCAATTGAATCGTATTTCAAATGTATTAAAGATTCCAAGGAGCATTTGAGATATATGTGCATCACAGCCATATTCTGTATTAGCAAACTGGTACCGTAATGCTTCAGTTATGTCATTTTTCCTGTCCGACCAATGCAGCAATGCAGTGATCCTGACCCTGTAATTAAGTTTTTTCTTTCTTTCTTTTTTATTTGTGTATTCTTTAAGATATCTGAGTTTTTTTGCACCAGTAATTCATGTAAGTAAGAATTTGGTAGTAGTAGATACACGCAGAGAGGAACAGGTGTGCAGATCAAGAGTCTGCTTTGTGAAAGGTGAAGTAGTGTGTGGAAAGAACCGGGTGGTGTTATGGTATCTCCTGTTCTACAGACGCGATAACAGTCTACATTTTGAGCTGCGGAAGGCGGTCAACTGCGAGTGGGAGTAGATAAAGGAGTATATCAGAGATTTATTACAGAGAAATCACAATTATTTTTTCCCTCAGAAAGTTGTAAGGGCGGGTTGGAAGTGATTAATTGTGACGAGGGTCTGGCACTGTAAATAAATGAGATCTGGTTTATACTTCGGAGTATCTGAATAAATCAGCATGGAATAATAATAATACTCACACTGTCACGTTGAATCCACCTCAGTAGTCTTTCCTCCTCCTTGGATCAGCTCTCTTCTTCAAGGAGATGCAAAGCTCTAATCGATGCTTGTCATTGATCCATGGGGAATACAGCTCGGCATGCTGGGAAACTCCCCAAGGCCCTTTGCTCAGTCTTTTGTAATCCTTTTTCTGTGACGAGCTGTGAGAGTTCAGAGGGGGCGAGGCGCTCACCAGATGTCGAGGTGTTTGCGATCGCTGAAGATTTAAATGTCACAGAGATGCAGCTGCAAGACAAAACAAGTTTGTGTAGCAGCACTTATTCATCACTCTTTGTCTGTTACATCGAAATGACGCAAGTTCATATACAGTAGGGCCGTCTACTACATGTTTCACACATTTCAGTTTTCTCGCTGGCTCCTTCAGCTTAATACAGAATAGGTTTATGAGCAGGTCACTACAATGTAAAAAGTGATTTAACTGCTCAATTGAGCCAACCTGAAAAAAGCCAGCTTAATTGAACCGTTAATAAACATGTATAAATATATAAACGTGTATAAATATATAAAATAAAAAGACCTCAGCCACATTCTTGAGTTTTAGCAGCAGAAATCCAAACACACAGCTCTGCTTCGGCTAAGTGTGGTTTTGTACGATCGGCAGGCTTAGCTAGCAGCCATAATCAATAAATGTAACAGTTCAATATGTTTAACCAGTTAGCTTGATAACCTGGAACAATTGCTAAAACCATCTACCAAAGCTACCACAAGCTAGTTTGTATTTAGTTATACCTTCACCAAACTGTTTTTTGGGGCTAAATTGAACTATTGAGTTAGCTCGTTTAGCTGCAAAAAAAATGCCAGCCTACTAACCATAATCATACATTTTTAAACCAAACAACTGGCTGACAGGGTATGTAATGAGTAGCGGACTTATCCATCTAAGCTCCTAAATCACATGGAGATCATCTGCACTTGAAGCAGGTTGGCCGTCCAGCTGAAGGAGTCTCCCAGTATAAAACCACCGGAGTGGTTTTCATTTACCAGTTAGCGCTGATGGCACTCAGACTAATTACATTCACATCGTTAGTCTGTTCCTGCCTCGTATAAGTGGAGTTTATGCTCATTTCCCGCTTTCCCTTTTACCTCTGCTTATCACCAGATATTCTATTTTCTATTTTCTGTTACTGTCCATTCCCACAAATGGCGAGTTCATCTCGGAAAAATCCACAGACATTTCTGAAAAGAATCTAAATCAACCTAAAATTCAGGACATAACACGTATTATTTATACATTGAACTAAAACATCAAATTATGTGTGTTTTAAATAACCCTTCCAGGTTCCTCCTTAATTTCTGCAACGATTGAACTGTGTCTTTCCATCTCCTTCTCAGCATACAGGTCAGCTATCTAGAGCAGCAGGCAGACTCACAGTCCCAGAATGCCTGAGCAGAGCAACGACTACCGGGTGGTGGTGTTTGGGGCCGGCGGGGTGGGGAAGAGTTCCCTGGTCCTCCGGTTTGTCAAAGGCACCTTCAGAGACACCTACATCCCCACTGTGGAGGACACATACAGACAGGTAAGACGTGAAAACCTGTTTGTGTCATTTAACTCTGGTGATAGAGACTTGTTGGGTTTTGAACAGCACCTCTTCTCTCTGCAGGTGATCAGCTGTGACAAGAGCGTCTGCACGCTGCAAATCACCGACACAACTGGAAGTCACCAGTTTCCAGCCATGCAGCGCCTTTCCATCTCCAAAGGCCATGCCTTCATTCTGGTCTTCTCCATCACCAGCCGCCAATCACTAGAAGAGCTGAAACCCATTTACCAGCAGGTCAGGGTCCAATAACAGTTACAATTAATGTGGGGTCTTTTTCACCATCAGGTTTATTTAATGAAAGTATAACTATGTTGTAACTGCTGGTTTTAGCAAGAGTTGGAGTGTAACCAAGGTAATTTGTGGTGCATCCTTATCAGAAACGGCAATTTAAATCAGAAGTCCAAAAACAGCTTCCATAAATGCTTTAAAAGCTTAGGCTTAGTCCCTTCTCTTCAACCTCCGGACCCAATTATTACAATGGCTCTACGATCTAAGGATGAAGAGGTTAATCCTCATAATGTTGAGATTTTATCAGCTGACGTCAACTAATGTTAATTCAATGAGAAGGATGTCTGCCAAAGTCCCTCTATGTTGTTTTGATAAGGGCAATGGTGGGGTTGATTCTGTTTGCGGTTTAAACACACGGTCTGTGTTTTTTGAGAGCTACAAAAAAAATAATTGATACATTGTTATTATTATTATTATTATATATCCTGTAAAAGTACAGTTTTCAATTGTCTGATATCTCTTCCAGAAAAATTCACTCAAATCAAAAAGTAATTTAATTAACTTAGTTATTTCGATTTATATAATCTATAAATAGGCTACAAATCCGTTGCACTAATGTTTTCATCATTTTTGTCATGACAACCATGACTGGGAAAATAATTACTTTACTACTGGATGTGACTACAGATGAAATTTAAAAAGTTTTAGAGCTGCATCTTGAATGTTCTCTAAATAGGTTGTGCTGACTCGGTCCCATATCCCCTTCAGGTCCTGGCCATCAAAGGTACAGTGGACTCAATTCCCATAATGCTTGTGGGTAATAAAAGTGACGAGACGGCTCAGCGTGAGGTGGAGAGGAAGGACGCCGAGGCTCAGGCCGCCACCTGGAAGTGTGCCTTCATGGAGACATCGGCCAAGACGAACTCCAACGTTAAGGAACTGTTTCAGGAGCTGCTGTCCCTGGAGAAGAAGAGGGACATGAGCCTGAGCATTGACGGCAAGCGCTCGGGAAAACAGAAACGAGCCGACAAGTTGAAAGGGAAGTGCAGCATCATGTAGAACGGGCGGCTGCAGATTTGCTGTGGATACGTGGATCCAGCAGAGGAGGCAGGAGAGGGAGTCTGCTGACGAGCTCCCATAGAGACTCCCTCTCCCATCTTTGCGGACAGCTCCTTCACCATCCATCTGAAGACTAAAGCCCTGAGGAACACAACATGACTACACTGATAATGAAAACAAGTGTTTATACCAGAGCCCTGGATCTCCTACAGGCCCTGAACTGGATTGTGTTCATGTCCACAAAATACTTATAAATACAAATAAATATATACAAACATATATACATATAGACACATCTAATGGCTACCACCTCCAACAATTTCTATAATATTATAATTGGGGTATACTCCACCAATTTTATTGTGAATCTTGGGCCAAGCCCTGAATGTAACTTGGAAAATGATTCATTAGATGCAACTTCATTTTTGTATAGCAGTTGCAAAACAAAAATGAAGTGTTTCAAAAAGTGTAGACAGTACATTTTTCTGATCATAGTCAAGCTCTGATGTGCTTCAGCAGCTCAGATACAATATCGAGGATTAATAGGGAATGCTGAGATGTAGTTAAAGTTCTGCATTGGGCTAAAGCTGACACTCAAACCCAGCCAGTGCCTGAGTCTTTAAATGCCAACTGGTACTACAATAGTGTGTACCTAGAAACCAAGTCTAACCCATTCTGTACACTATTTGCAGTGGGCATTGATGAAACAAGTGCAAAAACTCCCAAAAGCGAACTCAGACTTGACACTGGGAGTTGTCCGCTTGAGAAGAGCTCTACATTAGGTGCAAAAATGCTACCCAGATTTCAAACAGAGGATTACAAGAGCAGCCATTGTTAGCAGGTTGCCGGATTATAAATCATTTTAAGAGTAATACACAGTTGCTATTGTTGGCCGAATGTCTCCAGGACAAGCCACAAGACTGTGCATGTTCCAGCCCTGAATGAGTTGTTTTTTTATTTGAAACCGCAAGATGGCGAAAGATATGGCAACTCTTATACTTATAATAAACTTCTTGAACTTTTACGCTTGTGATTTTGAGTTTAGAAAGCTTCAGATAAACTTAAAACTTTGCTTTGTTACAGCTGTTTACTATGATTGGAGGGTATTGCCTTTCATAAATGGTCAATTGCAATGCTTTGGCCAAACACAGACCAAAAGAAAGCGAGGCCACCAACAGGTGGAAGAAAACCGTTGTGAGTGACTCAATGCTATTATGTCTCCTTGGCAAGCCCAGTTAGCGGGCTAATATATTTGCCACGTAGTCTTCACATGGTGTTTGTTTGGTGCCCCGTAGTGGAGGAGGGGAGCACTGGTATCATTTTTTTTCCTTCTCAGTTAGACTCACTAGATATAACATCCGTTAGCATCAACAAGTAGCTGCTGATGAAACAACTGTGGAAACACAACCGTGCAAAACGTAAATATTATAAAAAGATAACAGAGCAACTTTTGGGGAATTGTTGTCAGAGTCAAATGTTTCAGATTGACTTCTGTTCTAATCTCTGTGTCAAGGACAGAGTTGCGTTCAGCGTAGCTTAGTATAAAGACTAGAAGCAGGTGGAAATGAAAATCCTTCATGACATGTTGGCTACATTAGCAGCTAGCTAGCACAACACAGCGCAATCTCAAACATAATTCTAAGAAAGTTGAGTAGCATTGTAGGTCATCTTTAAGGATCGTTGTCTCTCCGCGTTGATATCAAAACAAGACAAAAGGACTTTTAAATGTTGAGCTGTTCCTTTAACTAGCAGGAAAGAGGACTGAACATGAGCACAGCCGCTGTATATTAGAAATGCCTTTCCTACCACTTTCCTTGAAAGTTTAGTATATTTATATACCTTTTAAAGCACAAACGCAACCAACTAAAGTTAGACAGCAACAAGCCGATAAGCACATGCTCATCCTGCACCTGTTATATTATTTACAGTGTGTCACTGCTAATCCCATTTTATGGTTCCTTCTTCTACAGTTAGTTATGCATTATTTTGAAAATTGTATCTTCTAATAGGCTGTATGCTTGCTGCTAACTCTGCTTTCCTTGCATTCAAATATTAGCGATAGGAAAGAGAACTCCAACGCACGCAGAGCAGGAATTATGGTCAGAAACAGTCAAAAATCCATCAGAATCAGTGGCCACCCAGTTCCCAATCAAATTAATTTGATATAATGGGACAGCTGCTGTGACTGGGTGGAGCCAACATGGTCGCAGCTGGCTGGCTTATAATATTATACAAATCAACTTTGTGGATTAAAATAAGTATTCAGTAATCACTGATGTGACTCACGAGTTTGGATGAAATCGGAGAACTACAGCAACTGGGATCTATATTTATTCTGTGGTGCTAAATGAGTAAAATCTGTATTGTAGCGAGTTAATGGGAACAGATGTGCAGGCAGAGCAAGGTCAGGTGACCAAAGAGGGCAAATCATTTCAACAAAAATTGTTTTTATTTATTTATTGATGCAATTTGTTAACGTTTCTGCTTACAAACTTATCACATTTAATGATATTTTATCTATATAAAAACATCAGCGACATGTATAAAATGTGTGATTGGATGGTCATTAAATGTGCTGAGTTCTATATTGAGAGCATTTTTAAACAAGCAAACTATTTGCTTTGTGAAGGTATAGTGAAATAATATCTACCTGAGCAAGAGAATGAAGTCACTCTCCCTCCGCGTGTTGTAATCCATGCTTCTCTGTGCTTTGTTTACATAGTCGGAGCGCCCAGGCCTGCTTTTAATGCATGTATGTGCATGTGAATGATGGCTGGCTAATGGCCGGCGCTGTGGACTGCAGGAGCATCACGCCCTGCGGACTGTTTGACCTATCAGCACCGCTACTGTACTTTCCAGTGTTAGCACCGCTAGCTGTCGCCATGATGAGAGCCGTTAAGAGGTAGAAATCCTCCCAATCTTGTATACTGCGCCTTTATGAACAGTAGAGAGATTGCTGAAGGTTGTTTGTATCTTTTTTTCCACCTCAAATATATTAGACAAACTGAAAGCACTTTGGTTGAGTCTGCAGTCCCACTGATGCTCTGTGTTCTGTGACTTCACATTTGCTTTGAGGCTAAAAGGAAACTTCTCTCACGTGAAGAAAGTGAATGAATAAAAACAGCGTTGTTGTACAGAAAAATGTTGTTTCTTTAAAACATTGATGCGTAGACTAACATTATCTTATACACACATATTTCACATACAACTAAATATAAGTTCAGTGAATCGTAAAAACTCCAAAACCAGTTAAGTCTCTGCAAACCTTGGTGATTACAAGAATAACACAAATGCATTATGAATTTTGTTGACATCCTAAAGTTTTTATGGAACAAAAATGTCATTGGCATAGATTATTTTACTTGATGTAATTAAAATCATCCCTCCTGGGAAAAAGCCAACAAGAAGTCAACATATTGTGCTGTATAAACCTTCATTTCCCAACGTGGGTCCTGATGTTACAGTATAACAATCACAAAAACTGTCAAATAAACGGATCACTAACTCATCTGTATGACCTCGTGTTTACTTCTTAAAAAAGCAAATATGAACTGCAATCATTTCTCTGGTCCAGACCAAACAGGCTGACCTGCTAATCACATCCTTCATACATTTTGAGAAACAGAAAGAATCAAACAGAAATTCGTTTCCCTCCTGCAATGCTTCTTCTACCGAGTCAATGTTAAACCAATCAAATCGCCACTCTTCTAAAATAACCTCGTAATCCTGTTCCCATCATTGGAAGTTATGCAGTTTACTCCACCCCATACCTGAGAAAAGACTTCTTCTGCCACCTGGTGGCAGCAGTGTGCTGTTACTGCTCATAGTGTTACATCACTGGTGGGTGTGATGAGCCTGAAACACAAGAAGAGGCCCTGAAAAACAGAGTTCTCTCATCATCCATTAACTACCATTTCAATGTTGATACGATCCCGAATATAACTTAGTTCCTTTCACATGAAGCTGTTTCTGTTTTGGGGAGCTCTGATACACATCTTTATATCATCCTGTGCTGAAAAGGACATTTCATTTCAATTATACATTCATTGACCAGGTGTTGTCGATGATTGGAAAATATTTAATGTGTTTTCCAGGATGCTTAGAAACCCTGTTGTGTGGTGCTCCTGTACACATACATCATGAATAAGAATAAACCCGCTTGTATTACTTGATCTGTATTACTTTCCTGATTCCTGATCTGTATTAAAGAAAATACAAAACAAAATAAAATAAAATCCAAGGGGGCAAATTCATAAGCTACCATGCTTACCATACCCAAGCTACAATGAATACAAAATAATAAGAGCGGCTCCAAATTTAATTTAACTGTTAATACAGTAGTGCACCAATAATATAATACATGTATAAAAATGTGACTTGCTTGAGGAGTAATTTGAATATTTTAGCAAAAAAGAGGATGCACTTTGTGAAAAACAAAAAACTAAATGTCAACACGTATATAAAAATAGTTTAATGTATCACTAATGCTTTCTGCATTCCTACTTTAATTCAATTCATAGGAGTTGTTTTTCAGTAGCTGCTTCCACACCAGCGACAAAGTTCCCAATCGTTTGACAAGAAAGTTGAAAACTGATTAGTTGTTTGTTTTAGCAGCTTTTTTTCTGATATTTTGGTTTGGTGTGTTTGATGTTTATCTTTGAAAATATATAATATTCTAATAATCTCTCAATCTACCTCTCGTTCTCCTTTACAGTCAAGTAGTTGATTATGCAGTTCACATTTGTATTCATGAACTGGTGTGTGATCATTTACTTTTTCTCTAGATAAGCAGCACCTCTTTTTTAAGTTTTTAAATACAATATTAATATTATTTGTAGATGGTTTACAGTTGACCCTGACCCCAAAAAGGGTGTCTATTGAAATCCCTACTTATATATGCTTGTTTAATTTGATGGGCAACATCACTATATTGGGTCTGTGGTGCAAAGGATCCAGTGATCTGTGAATGTATGAAGAAGAACATAATTGGGATAAATTGCTGGACCTGTTTGACCACAGGCCACCACAGGATTTTCTCCCTTCGAATTGCTTTTCCGCAGGAAACCATGGGGGGTGCTCAACTTGATTAATAAAAATTAACAAAAATGTGACCATTCATTTTGCGTTCGTCTCATAAGCACAGACGCGATGAGACTAGAGTGACGCAAATTTGTAACTGTAACAGATTGAGTTTTTCCTGACCCAAGTTTGTACCCAATGTAAGGTTTCCTAATACATATGTGACGGTTTGTGGTTTGTTTCCTGTTTTATTTTGTAGTTTCCTGCCTC